TTTTGCACCTGACCAGATCGCATCTCCACGCAGGCCGGGGCCCTCTAAAGGGCCTCCCCCTTTAAATTCCACGGACGCCCAGCGTGCACACTGCAAAGCCATGTATAAGATCATGCAAGATCTCTAAGTGGCAAACAAAAAAGTAAGAAACCCTGGCCTTGCAAGACTGATCTAGGAAAATTTGAGGCCGAACACAAGCATGTTGATTGGTCAATCTGGAATTTCAGCGGAATGCCATACCCAACTTTGATTTGCATCCTTATAGTAACTAGTCACGAGTCAAACTAGTCAGCGGAATGCAAAGGAGGATCCCTGTAGTCGCACAGCTACTGGTTGCCAGTTGCTTGCGACTGTTTGCCACCATCATCTCTTTTAACCAGTCGCCCTGGTCTCCAAGTGATGAATTTGACAAAGGTAACCAAGCCGTTTGTATTGGAGGTAATGGTAAGAAAAGTAAGGTGGCCAAAAACTGTGGCCTCTTAAGCTTGCGATTAGCATAAATCGTGTTCAATTTGTTCTTTTCCTCTCACAGTGCGCTAACAAAACCCTGTGGTAATTCAGGTGTCGTCGGAAGCGCATCGAAACTATCCTTGATCTGACAAGGTTTTACAAGGTGTTGGATGGTTTTGCAGGCTGGAGCTACCTTTGCCAAGAATGCTCAGCTGAACAATAAAACCTGTCCCATCCCAGCGCTTTACGATGCTGAGCGTAGCTGGATGCAGCCCATACTTTCTGACTCTGACCTCTTTGGGTTTGGGCCACCAACTCATGTAGCTCTGGAAGAGGAGCTTCAATTTTTGAGCAAAAGGTCAGAAGCCCCATTCGAGTCAGTGGAAATCAATCTGCATCGTTGATCATCGTTGCACATGTTGCATGTCATAGAGATAAAACGAGTGCAAGTACATATATATCCGCCGACCCCGGCAGATGCAAGGGGGAGCGCGCCAGGGAAGAAGACAGGAGGAAAAGGTCGCCAGAATTCATTGCAGCAGCAAGAGCAAAAAGCCGCCTACTACTACTACTACTACTACTACCACGACTACCACGACTACCACGACTACCACGACTACCACTACTACCACTACTACTACTACTACTACTACTACTACTACTACTACCACTCTGTCCTTCACTGCCATGCTGTTTTCCCATCCGTGGACCAGCAGCAGCAGCAGCAAAAGCCTCTGCAGCAGCAGGAGGAAAAGGCAGCCAAAATTCATAGCAGCAGCAAGAGGAAAAAGGAGCCAAAAGCATCATTTTCTATGGGTTTCAGAAGTTACGTTAAGCATTTTCGGTGTGCAATTTTGGGGCTTCTCCGTCCTTCAGAGGCATGGTGTTTCCCTGCCGGGAGGTGATTTTTTCCATGGTGTTTTTCCATCCGGGGACCAGCAGCAGCAGCAGCAAAAGCCTCTGCAGCAGCAGGAGCAAAAGGTAGCCAAAAAAAAACATAGCAGCAGAAAGAGGAAAAAGGAGCCAAAAGCATCATTTTCTATGGGTTTCAGAAGTTACGTTAGGCATTTTCGGGGTGCAATTTTGGGGCTTCTCCGTCCTTCAGAGGCATGGTGTTTTGCTGCCGGGAGGTGATTTTTTCCATTGTGTTTTTCCATCCGGGGACCAGCAGCAGCGGCACTTTTGCCTCTGCAGCAGCAAGAGGAAAAGGTAGCCAAAATTCATAGCAGCAGCAAGAGGAAAAAGGAGCCAAAAATCATCATTTTCTATGGGTTTCAGAAGTTACGTTAGGCATTTTCGGGGTGCAATTTTGGGGCTTCTCCGTCCTTCAGAGGCATGGTGTTTTGCTGCCGGGAGGTGATTTTTTCCATGGTGTTTTTCCATCCGGGGGGCAGCAGCAGCAGCAGCAAAAGCCTCTCTGCAGCAGCAGGAGGAAAAGGTAGCCAAAATTCATAGCAGCAGCAAGAGGCAAAAGGAGCCAAAAGCATCATTTTCTATGGGTTTCAGAAGTTACGTTAGGCATTTTAGCAGCAGCCAAAATTCATAGCAGCAGCAAAAGGAGCCAAAAGCATCATTTTCTATGGGTTTCAGAAGTTACGTTAGGCATTTTCGGGGTGCAATTTTGGGGCTTCTCCGTCCTTCAGAGGCATGGTGTTTTGCTGCCGGGAGGTGATTTTTTCCATGGTGTTTTTCCATCCGGGGACCAGCAGCAGCAGCGGCAGCAGCAAAAGCCTCTGCAGCAGCAGGAGGAAAAGGCAGCCAAAATTCATAGCAGCAGCAAGAGGAAAAAGGAGCCAAAATCATCATTTTCTATGGGTTTCAGAAGTTACGTTAGGCATTTTCGGGGTGCAATTTTGGGGCTTCTCCGTCCTTCAGAGGCATGGTGTTTTGCTGCCGGGAGGTGATTTTTTCCATGGTGTTTTTCCATCCGGGGGCCAGCAGCAGCAGCAAAAGCCTCTGCAGCAGCAGGAGGAAAAGGTAGCCAAAATTCATAGCAGCAGCAAGAGGCAAAAGGAGCCAAAAGCATCATTTTCTATGGGTTTCAGAACTTACGTTAGGCATTTTCGGGGTGCAATTTTGGGGCTTCTCCGTCCTTCAGAGGCATGGTGTTTTGCTGCCGGGAGGTGATTTTTTCCATGGTGTTTTTCCATCTGGGGACTAGCAGCAGCAGCAGCAAAAGCCTCTGCAGCAGCAGGAGGAAAGGGTAGCCAAAATTCATAGCAGCAGCAAGAGGAAAAAGCAGCCAAAATCATCATTTTCTATGGGTTTCAGAAGTTACGTTAGGCATTTTCGGGGGGCAGCAGCAGGAGGAAAAGGTAGCCAAAATTCATAGCAGCAGCAAGAGGAAAAAGGAGCCAAAAGCATCATTTTCTATGTGTTTCAGAAGTTACGTTAGGCATTTTCGGGGTGCAATTTTGGGGCTTCTCCGTCCTTCAGAGGCATGGCGTTTTGCTGCCGGGAGGTGATTTTTTCCATGGTGTTTTTCCATCCGGGGACCAGCAGCAGCAGCAAAAGCCTCCGCAGCAGCAGGAGGAAAAGGCAGCCAAAATTCATAGCAGCAGCAAGAGGAAAAAGGAGCCAAAATCATCATTCTCTATGGGTTTCAGAAGTTACGTTAGGCATTTTCGGGGTGCAATTTTGGCGCTTCTCTGTCCTTCACTGCTATGGTGTTTTCCCTGCCGGGAGGTGATTTGTTTGAAGTTGGCTTACTGCTAGCAGCCGCAGGCAACAGAATCTGTCGAAAAATTGTGTTTTTCTGGGATTTCAGACGATCCGTTAGGGAGTTTTTTGGCGTGGTTTTGGAACTTGCTCGTCCTTCAGAGGCATGGTGTTTCCCTGCCGGGAAGTTATTTTTTCGAAGCTGTTTTACTGCTAGCAGCCGCAGGCAACAGAATCTGTCGAAAAATGCTGTTTTTCTACGATTTCAGAAGAGACGTTAGGGAGTTTTTTGGCGTGGTTTTGGAACTAGCTCGTCCTTCAGAGGCATGGTGTTTCCCTGGAGGAGGAGCAACAGCAGCAAATACAAGACCCGCAGCAGCAGCAGTTGCAGCAGCAGGGGCTTTTGGCGCGGCAGCAGCAGCAGCCGCAGCAGATGCAGCAGCAGGAGGACTAGCAACAGCCGCAGGCAACAGAATCTGTCGAAAAATATTGTTTTTTCTAGGATTGCAGACGACACGTTAGGGAGCTTTTTGGCGTGGTTTTGGAACTAGCTCTTCCTTCAGAGGCATGGTGTTTCTCTGCCGGGAGGTGATTTGTTTGAAGTTGGCTTACTGCTAGCAGCCGCAGGCAACAGAATCTGTCGAAAAATGCTGTTTGTCTAGGATTTCAGACGAGACGTTATAGGGAGTCTTTTGGCGTGGTTTTGGAACGAGTTCGTCCTTCAGAGGCATGGTGTTTCCCTGCCGGGAGGTTATTTTTTCGAAGCTGTTTTACTGCTAGCAGCCGCAGGCAACAGAATCTGTCGAAAAATGCTGTTTTTCTACGATTTCAGACGAGACGTAGGGAGTTTTTTGGCGTGGTTTTGGAACTAGCTCGTCCTTCAGAGGCATTGTGTTTCCCTGCCGGGAGGTGATTTTTTCGAAGCTGTTTTACTGCTAGCAGCCGCAGGCAACAGAATCTGTCGAAAAATCAACAGAGTCGGAAAACAAACCGAAAATCTGTAACATATTGTAACTGTAACTGAGACTTGGGAAGCCTGTGCTGCTTAACATTTACTATTTATCTAAACTACTCCAAGATCAACAAAACATGATGCTGGCTAGTTGGATCCCTAAAGTAGCTAAAGGCTGGAAACTGTCGACCAATTGTCGGAAAAAACTCAGACCATCATATGATATATGATATAACTGTCATATAACACAACAATTTTGTTTCAAATGTCGGAAATCTGATGGTAAGCCAACATGGACAAAATGACTTGCGGTGCTGTGAAGCCAACTGGTCGCGACGAAGGATCCCATCAACATATACCCATCAACCAACAGGGGTAACTTGGAGCAATGAAGCCAAGCAAGTCAAGTGCCCATTTGGTTTGCTTATTGGTTTGGTTACTTGACCATTCTTCCGGGGTCGGCGGCAGGGGCGGCAGCCCTTAAATATATATATATAATTACATATACATATATATATTTATTATCATGCATTGATCAGATATGCACATATTGACAAATCAACTTCACCCAGGTGATCAAGCGCAAAACGTCGGCTAAATCAATGTGAACAGAGACAGCATGAAAACAATAAATACTGAGCAAGGTGCAACGGATTTGATAGATAAATAACTTGGTACACATGATCTACTAGATGATACATCTATGGGGCCACATCGTTCCATACCCTCACATTCTCACAAGCCATTGCAACATGCTTCCAGGCTTCCAGTATGCGCATGTCTTGCTGGAATTATGATGAATGTGACTACAAGATGGTATAAGCAGCCAATCATACCCATAGTCCCTATATGTCCCTGTTATATCCTATTATGATCATTTGACCGTGACCATACCCAAGACCGTCCTACTGATGGGCCCATGCCATCATTTGGCCTTTCATTATCCAGGCTCCACGAGCTGAGCAGCAAGCAGCAAATCAGCTGGTAGTGCGGCAGGCAATGCTTGCCCTTCCCTGGGAGAGATGTCATTGCTTCTTTCCACTGGGATCCCTTGGTTCATTGAGTCCCTTCCTACATCCCTTGGTTTTGAAAAAAGGCCCATGCTTCCAAGTTGCTCTAACTTGGGCTGTAAATCATGGTAATCTATGGAAGTTTCCTAGAATAGGGCTACCCCAAAAATCATCTAAATTTTTAGTAGGATTTCTCATATGAACCGTTATGAACCATCCAGCTATTGGGCCTTCTCCGAGCCGTCAATGCCATGGCATGGAGGAACTGGAGCAGGTCCAGGTTGTCGGTGCCACCACTGAGGTTCCTCCGAATGGTTCCATCATTGGCATTCACAATGGAACAATGGATGTTTATTGATGTTGATTGATGTTGATTGATGTTTATTGATGTTTATTGATGTTTATTGATGTTTATTGATGTTTATTGATGTTTATTGATGTTTATTGATGTTTATTGATGTCTATTGATGTTTATTGATGGTTATTGATGTTTATTGATGTTTATTGATGTTTATTGATGTTTATTGATGTTTATTGATGTTTATTGATGTTTATTGATGTTTATTGATGTTTATTGATGTTTATTGATGTTTATTGATGTTTATTGATGTTTATTGATGTTTATTGATGTTTATCCATGTTGATTGATGTTGATTGATGAAATGATAATGCTAAAACTTAGGTCAACACATTAAATATGTTAAGTTAGGTCGTCTATCCTAAATCAGGTTAAATGATGTTAAATGATTGCGGATGGCTATCTGCTCATCATGCTCATCATCATGCTCATCTTTTCAAGCTGCGTGACTCGGCTCCCCGACCAGATCTGTGCCAAATCACTGGGTGGAAGCTCTGACCTTCAGATTGGCCATCAACTTGAGATATGTTGAGATACTGTTATTCCATGTCATTTGAGGCTTCTATAAATGGGGCCATTCATGGAAACCCATGGAATCACAGGGAGGACTCGTGTCTCCGAAATCGTTTTTTTTGAAGCCTGCAAGGTTTCCCTTTCAAATGATTTTTATTGGAGCAGATTCACGAAGGAAAGAACCAGTTTTTTCCCTGACTCATTTGCGTCTCTGAGTGGTTAAAACTTGGTATATGTCCAGCTTAGTGATGAGTGGAAGGGGCATCCCGTCATACCGTGATACCAAAATCACGTCAACCTGAGTTCTCATCCAAAGCTGATTTTGAAATTCACCCCGTATTCTCCATCTGTTCCCCACCCCTGACCCATCTGCCCCATCTGCCCAAGGCTTCCGAACATTTGCAAGATTTCGGCCGCTTTCGCTGCAGGCATAGCGCTGCCTGCTTCAGATTTAACTTACAACAGTTGCCAACTGCTTGAGTTTGTGGATCGATATTTTCTTTAATCTCCCCATTCCCCGAAGTCGTCCGAATCCCACATCTACCACTGACCTCGGGGAACTTGCTCCTGAAACATTGCCAAGTACCTGCATTTGAGGCGACTTCGTGCAACTTCTCACAGGCAGAACCAAGTTGGGTAGAAAATTGGTACATAGTGGTACTGTATCTTGTTGGCACTCGGGCAAAAGAGATCAAAAGAGTCTTCAGCTCACAAACCACTTGTTGGATTTAGTGGCTGGTTGGGAGACTGGAATGTCGAAGAGAACCTTTAAAATCGCCTCAAATATTCTCCGGAGATCAACAAGATCAACAACTTCCTATTGCATGTAAGGAGTTTCCAAGCTGAGATTTTTTTCTTCTTTGGTACCTCAAGACATCTCAAGACTCATCCACAAATGTTCCTCCAGGTGCCGAGTTTCCCATCCCTAGCTGCGAGACCCGAGCCTCTGCATCTCCACCTTGTCTTGGACCCTTAGCCTGGCAGTCGACTTCAGAATTCATGTCATCCATATGGTACCGGGAGCTGAAACACCAAATAGATCCAAATAGTGGTTTAGAGTGGTTTGACCAAGACCCTGCGTTAAACAGAGGCTTTGTTTCATGTTTAATCCTTTCTTAATCATGTCTTAATCCTTTCTTCTCAATATTGCCTATGTCATCAGTCGTTGGTGCTGATATTGATGCAGATTCTGCCTGGCGCAAGGCAAAAGTTCATCGGGAAGGCTCTGGGGCAGTTGGCGGCCTCAAGTCAAGCGGATGCCAAGCAAAACTTAAAAACATACAATATCATACATGAAGCATACACATTCATACACTTTTTCTTGGGGGTATGTTTTTTGATGGTTTTTGATGGTTTTTGAGGTACCAAAAAAAAAACACATTTCCCAAATCGACCCGCTGCTGACCCTCGCGACGCCGTGCTGACAAAGACATTGCACAGAGGAATTCGCCTCAAAACACACGAGCTCTTCAGGCGGCAGAAATCTGGGGGATGCTGAAAATATGTTGAACATATGCTGAAAATGGAGACTACGGCATACCAAATAATCCCTAAAATTATGACCAGGATTCTATGAACCAGTAGATTTGGGGCAGAAACACGTCTTGAAGCCCGCAACCGTCGCTTGATGCCCCGGCCCAAAGACAGTTTGCCATCGTCTCCAGCATCTGCCAAATCCCAAATCTGGCGCATGCGTCACTCAGCGAAAGGAATCGTCAGCGTGACTTACACTATCTGAAGCAACTACAGTATTTCTTATCATATTATATATGGCAAAGCCCGAAAAAGATATAAGAGTAAAATCCTCCATTTTATCTTCGTTGAGATTACTGACCAGAATGTCTTCATTTGTGCTCCACAGCCAACTCAAGGAGCTCGGAGATTACAACGCCCCCAACGCACCACCTTTGCCAGATCATTCAGTGGTAGGCCGGAGCTTTCCAACACCTGTGAGCTCGTAGCTTTGACTTCCGTTGTGGGGGTCAAGAACTTCACCCATAGTGGATATACAATCCATTACCCTCTGGTTTACGTGAAAATCACCATTTTTGATGGGTAAATCCCATCAATCAACTAATCAACTATATTCATCTATCTTCCATACTGGCAGCGAAAGAGATGGTAGACCAGTAGACCCACCAACGGAAGCCATTTGAAAACTGGACGCATGAAGGCATCTCAAATTTCTCAAGGTGGGCGTGGGAAAGGAACTGTTGACGCGACCCTTACTCGTAGGAAACATGCCATCCATATTCCTCCAAACTCTTTTTGAAACCGCATCTGATGTACCCAGCAGCTCATCCTGACTTGAGCACATAGAAATGCCTGGTTTGGTCAAACCAGGACAACTGCTGAACTGCTTAATTCTCTGTTTCACAGCTTTTGGCACAGCTCCTGTGATTTCCCTCACTGATCGCCAGTCACCGCCGGCGGTCTCGGCCACGGCCTTTGTGGCAGTTGAACATTTACAAATCCGCTGACAGCGCTGACTGCGCACAACCCTAGCAATAAGTCTCCCGCTGCGGCTACGGCTGCGGCTCCGACGTCTCCTGTCAAACACAAGGGGCCATGGAAATGAGGGGAAGTAGGAAGTAGCACTGGCTTCAACTGAAACCCGACGTTTTTTAAATGAATTGCATCTTCGTCACAGCCCGGAGCCATTTTATCAGACCCAAAATCCTTGAAATTCAGACGTCTGAATTGAAGGATTTTCACTACAATTGTGTTTTTGCGACGCCGAAACCTCATTTTTCTTTCCGTTTCGATTGATGCTTTTCAAATATCACCTCTTTTGGTCTCTTCACAGCATATGTCGCAGCATTTGACTGTTTTGTTTTGTCAATCAGATCCTTGTATTCGCTCATGTAACGCCACTGCCACATTTGACAGGACAACATGACATCTGTTATGTCTGGCACCCAAACTGCTTGCAACTTGTCGACGCTGCGTCTTGGAAGTTCCTTCAGACAGCTAAGAGCGTAATATCAAGAGAGCCTTGCAAGTTACGTGACAAGGTTAGATAAGAGCGTAGCATCAAGAGCATCTTGGAACTTACTTGAATAGCATTAAGATTAAGAGCGGAGCATCAAGAGCAACTTGGAAGTTACTTGACAAGGTTAGGAGTTAGGAGCATAGCGTCAAGAGATATCAAGAGCGTTTTGACATGAACATTGATGCCCCACCCCATCCCACATGCCCAACAACCGCGCGGACATTTAAAAAAAAACATAGTTTCGCCAGCACGATTTTTGGTCCGTAGACTACTGAAACAACCCAGAGCAGTTTGATGCGGGCTATGGGTTTTTCAGATCTCCGGGAGTCTCCGGTGTTTCTTGATCTGCTGTGAACATCCTTTGCTCCGCCTGCGGTCACGGGAGCCACTTCGCCCTCGGCTCTCCTTGCGACTGTTCCTGGTGCAACAACGCAGCGTCATGCAAAACCGCATCGTTTCTGAGCATTGTGCAATTTTGTTTCGAATTTACAGGACCAGGAGAATTAATTATATAGATCTAGATATGATCCTAGAAATATCTAAGAAATTTTAAGAATTATAATGGTTGATCATCATGAGATCTGGATAACATTTTGTTAGTGAGAATTATTGAGCACCTTCTGGGCTGTCACCTGACTCAGTCAGTTTCCGAAGTCTAAGAGTCTAAGCCGCTCCTGCCACCAGCCGCACGTGCCTGCACAAGGAGCGAGATGCGGTTGCTTCCCATGCTCCGACAACGTGGCACACAGCTGGAATCCAGTACCAACAATCTATCAAGGATGGCATATATAATATGCCTTCAAGTTGAAGCAATTTGATGCATTAAAATCATCAAAATATCTAAAGCATTCTAAAACCAAAATAATAAATATATGACTGTCTCATCAGAAATTGCTCTCTCGATCTGAGTCATCTGCTTGCAGCATCATGTCGCGTGAGCTGAAGTCCAAGTCCCTGCGGTGCCTCAGAAGACTGGGAAATATCTGAATCCTTCTGCAGAGGTATAGTCGTTTCAGCATGTTCAATCATTTCACCGTGATTTTGATAGGGATGTCTGGAAATTTCTTTGTTTTCGTGAAACCCATTCATATCCGATTATTCATGTGCAACTCGTATGATAAAAATCACCTCCCTACAACAAGATTGTCAACATGTACAGGGACGTAGAAAATGAGCGAAGCCTGGCAGCAGTGTCGTATTGATGATCACTTGCACGTGAAGCCCTGTGGATCTCATCCAATGCTGCCACGATTTTCTGGATCATTGACATGTACATAATTTGTTGCAGTTTGTTGATGTTTGTTTTATTTACATTTATTACATGTTATTACCACACATCCCACGAAAAAGTTGGTTCCAGTCAGCTACGTCTATGGCCGTTTGGTGTCGCTTGTATTTTCCCCAGCAGCGTCAAACCATGTCAAACCTCCCAAGGTTCCGAGCTGCTTCTGTTGATTGATGTTGATTGATGTGGGTTGTGCATCATATCCCAACAGTGTTGGTCAAACCTCCCGAAAGATCCTAGAACTTCTCGGGCCATCGCATCTGATCCTTCTCTGGTGGAGGACGTCGGCTTTCGCCTTTCCCACCACGGGCAGGTCGCCATTGCGCCTGGGAAAGCTTCACCAGGCGCTTCCAGCTCAAATGGGAGCATGCCGGTATGTCCAAACTATGGTGAGGCATGTTGGGCCATGTCGGGCCTATGTTGGGCCCGTGTTGGGCCTATGTTGGGCCATGTTGAGCCCAAGTTTAGCAACTTAGCCGATTTGAGGCCCCTTAAAAAAAAAAAAAAACCGTGGAAAAACACTGGATTCTACGAGCCCTGGCGTGATCCTACGCCATTTACTAGAACTTACGCCAGTAGAGCAATAAAGTGCTCCTCCAAGCTAAATCCGGTTCATGCGTGTACACACACTAAACGTCTCAGCACCTTCGGTGCGGGCGGATTTCGGCATTCCACGGTTCCCCCGTCTGGGCCCTACTAGTATCCAACTCCCAAGAAACCTTCAGCTGATTGCCATCCACGAAGACTTCGCCTGGCTGCAAGATTTGGGTTTGTCCAAATTTTTTGATACCCAAAATCCCCCAACATGGATCAAAATTGATAAAAATGGATCAAGATGGATCAAAATGGATCAAAATGGTCTATGTTGGTCAATATATGTGAGGAGGGGAAGTCGAATTCCCCGTTTTTTGGGCATGTCCATGAGGCAGCCAACAACTTGTGGAAGTAAATGTTGGCCTTTGTTCAGCGCATCCAGCGCGTCTTGTGCAGCTTTCTCAGTCATAAAGCCTCGGGGTGGGACACTGAAGAAGGCTGTTGGAAACCAGGTGAAATCTTTGCCTCATCTGGAATCTAGAACACATCCGCAGGGAAAGCTCCTGCACATCCTGTCCATGGCAGAATCCCCCAATCCACAATCAACAATGGGTTTGTTGACCCTGCCCATTTCAACTTCGGATACACCAAAGACTCTAAGATTGCCGCGGACCCAGGGAGGTTCTTCTTCTGGATTGTTGCGGTTGCCCATATGGCAAACCTGCAGGCATGCTAGCTACATCTAGCTACACTGGAGTAGCTTGGCTCACACACTATTGGAGGGGCACAGGATCATGACTACGATGATGATGATGATGATGATGATGAGGTGATGGTGATGATGATGATGATGATGATGATGATGATGATGATGATGATGATGATGATGATGCTGATGATGATGATGATGATGAGGAGGATGAGGTGATGATGATGATGATGATGATGATGATGATGATGAGGTGATGATGATGAGGTGATGATGATGATGATGATGATGATGATGATGATGATGCTGATGCTGATGATGATGATGATGATGATGGTGATGATGCTGATGATGATGATGATGATGATGATGATGATGCTGATGCTGATGATGATGATGATGGTGATGATGCTGATGATGATGATGATGATGATGATGATGATGATGATGATGATGACGCTGATGACGCTGATGACGCTGATGACGCTGATGACGCTGATGACGCTGATGACGCTGATGATGCTGATGACGCTGATGATGCTGATGACGCTGATGACGCTGATGACGCTGATGACGCTGATGACGCTGATGACGCTGATGACGCTGATGACGCTGATGCTGCTGATGATGCTGCTGGTGGTGGTGGTGGTGGTGACGACGACGACGACGACGTTGACGGTGTTGATGATGATGTTAACGGTGTTGATGTTGTTGGTGCTTATTATTGTTGCAAATTGCAATTATGATTGTTCTGGTTTTGATTCTACAAACTTCCCAGCATCCTAGTTGAGTCGACCTGCAAGCCCAGCCTCTACTTCTCCAAACCGCTCCATCGCTTGCTTCAGGTACATCCGGGTCCTGCAATATGCTGCAATGACCAGTAGCCTATCTGACCAGATTTGGCAAGTGAAACTCTACTTGGCCAGGCCAGCAAGAGCAGATCGTTCATTAAAAAACTCGGTATTTACAATGAATGTACTTACTCGCTTTGCACAGCTTAGTTCCAGACGTCTGGACAAAAACACCGCCAATAAATTGCAGCGTTCGCCTCACTGTCTCCAATGTGTGTCATCGTATGTGTCAGGATCTGCACACTGCAGGTGAAATTGTGCGGTGTGGAGCTAGTTCTGGGCACAAATCCAGGGGCCATACCCGGCCATTGGAACGTTTCTCGCGGCCTGAATCAGCCTTGCAGATCTTGCAGTGTGTTACTTCAAGCTTTGTTTCAAAGAGAACATCATAGCATCAAGATCCATCCAGTGTGGATTTATCATGATTAAATTATCATGTGTTGTCATGATTTGTTATCATCATTGTTCCAGTTAGAAAATTGATATTTGGAGGTGCTAACTGCTAGAACCCACTCAGTAGCCCCATAAAAAACGAGCCCATGGGCCTGCGGGAAGAGTCGCTTCGCTCGCGGAGCTGACCGTGGCCACATCCGCTGACCACGTTCTCTGATTGTAAGGGTAGCTGGTTAGGTTAGGTTATGAAATCATATTGCATCATATTGCATCATATTGCATCATGTTCAATCTCCATGAGCGGGATTCGGTTGGATGGAAGCACTAACAAATCCTTTTTTCATTCCGTGTATATATACTGATCTACAAGTAACCTGTCTGAGTTTAATTGTGATGTTCTTTTCTTCAAACGAACTGGAGAGGCGGTAGGATAATTCCTAACGGAATCTGAAAAACTCTGCCATCGTTGTTTCAAGTCGCAGCGAAATGAAGATGAATCTCAAAGTGCGATATGACATGTTTGGAAGAACGCAGCAAATTAAATCATATTAAATCAACATATTGACATGATTTGACATGTCAGGTGATCATCGTACGCTCTGCACTTAAGAACCCCTCTTGGTTGCGTCATGACATACGAAGCCCTCTGAGCCAAACAGCTACAAGTAGGGTTTTTTAACATGCTGAATGTGTCAGATGGGAAATCCATGCTTCGAAGCAAGGTGGTCCTTACTTTCCAAGATGTTACAAGATGTTACAAGTCCCAATAATCACATAAAAACGATGCCCAAAAAGTACCGAAAAGATCTGATTACTGTCCAATAACAGGACATAACAAGACTAATCCCGCTCTGGAAGCCCAAACCCGCCTCCCGGGCCCTGTCCGCCGACACGAAGCCATGGTCTTGCAATTGATCGAAGAGTTGCTGAAACCTCCGTTTTGCACTTCATCGAAAATCTTGAAGCGAGGAAAGGATGGAAAGGGCAAACCTGCACACAGATTAAACACCATTAAACACCATTAAACACCATTAAACACTCAGAAAGCTCATCTGAAGCTGTAGATCCAAAAGCGTTCTCCCCATGATCATGAGTTTGAGCCACACCAGAATCTGCCAGAACGCCTCCTGAGCTCTTCATGATTTGGCTGCCACAGCGGTAGAGACTCGTTGGGCTGGTTCATTGCTGCCTCATGTTTTCCGGCATCAGATGGATCAACAAGTGAATGCGCTCACGTTGGCCAATCGTCTTCTGGCCCAAATTTGTTCCCAACGCAACTCAAAAATAGTCTGGAGTCTAAAAAACTTGATGTCGGCGTTAAGATTGTTTGCTCCTTGCGTTAAGATCTTTTGCTCCTTCCCGATTGAATAAATATATGAATAAATTATATCACATTCACATTGTTCTCAATATGTTGCACTCCAATGTCCATCAAAAGCGCTGCACCTCCGCATTTGTAGACGGCATGGACCAACAAGCCTGTCGTTCAAGGGTGTGCCCAGTCTCTTGTGCCATTCCAATCCATTCCATGACGTCCCAGACAAATGGCAGCTCAAACAAATCATGATCCAAGTCTCTTAAATTCTCCTAAGAAGTTGTGGTTGAAAGCTACGGTAGTAGGTTGATGTCAAAGATCTCCCTTTTCCTCTTTTGATTTTTCTGATTCTTGCAAGTCCGACAAGGAATGACAGGGAGCTAGTGGATGACATAGCAGGTCGCATGCTATCATGATTGCGACCTTCCTCTTTCGTTTCAGGTCATTCACGTCTGAATTGCCAGCCTCTCGTAGCTCTAGCCTCAGATGTGCTTGGGCACGTACGAATCGCAAACACGGTTCCAGTAAGTTTTGCTTCGTGGCAGATTTTAGGATCATGAAACCCTTGACACGTGCACGCCTCTATTCTACATGTAGTATCACATAGTGACATCATGTTCAAATTGTTCAAGTACTGCTCTTCCCACTCACCCTCCCTCGCTCTCCACCGTTGTCTTTGCTTTGCTTGCATCCTGGATAACAGGTCTCTTGCCAGTATGAAAACGACGCATTCAGCTGAGTATTTCCTGGGCACCCGGCGGCAATTGCTCTGGCAAGGGTGCGCCCTTGCGCCGTCGTGCAACCAAGGCCTGAACCCAAGGCTGAAAGCTCCGAATGCTCCGATGGCGGTGCAAAGGTCATGCCTTGTCACCATCCTATTTTTCACTCAAGTGTTCGCTCAATGCTAATTTGGTGTTGGCCGGTATTGGCACTAAATGGAGCAAATAAATCTTTCTCTGAGCCCGGTTTTGAGAATTTCTCTGAACTCCTGAATTCTCATGTGCTCTATGCAATGTGAGTGAACAGCAAAGCCACAAGACTTTAAATACTCCAAAAGGTAGATGATTACCCGGTTGCTTTCGAGAATAATGTTCCTATCTTTTTCAAGGCGACAACACACTGCGACGCCCGGCCATGGCGCAAAGGAACTCTGGCTCTGAAAGTCGACCATCGTGGTCCTTGCTTGGAGAGCTAGTGAAGCTAGTGGGGTCTGTGGAGGTTTGAGGTTTATCCATTTGGCATAGCTATGCATAGTCTGCATAGTTCATATTGTACATAATCAAACAAATAAAAGCATGGAAAGCCATACAGTAGAAGGTGGGGTTTGTCCAAAAATAGGACATGCCAAAATCGAATGGAATCAATTGTTTTATATTATGTCATGAGTCGATCATCATGTTACATTTCCCATTGAAAAGACCGTAACTTGGGGCCCATCCTTCCTTTTTGGGCTGGAGCTAACACCAGCAGTGCATTTCGGACAAGTTGCCAAGTCGGACATGGCATAGATGGCCGACAGCTCTGACACCGGCAGTTGGGATTGCTCCAACAAGTCCTAAACAACGGAACCAACGTTGCAAGGATTCCATTCATGGACTACAGCTCCAAAACTCGCACTGACGGTAAACTCTACAAGTCAGCAGCCCAAAATTAGGCCTTGTGTCATGAATTGGGTCTCAGAGCTAACCTCATTTTTTTATATTTTTTTCAGAAATACCTCTCCAAAAAATATCCAACAAAAATCCACCATGTATTTCTGGAACCCTTGAATTCGCACAGTGTGACGCTGGTTGATCACTGTGACTGGCTGCAACAAGTCCTTGGTTGCCGCCAAATCTGCCACGCCATTTCGATCAACACGTTGGAAGATGGTTCTGTAGCTCTCAAGCCTTGGGCAACAAAGAAATCTCAAGTTCCAAAGTTGACAAGATTCGCAAGCTAAGCTCTTCCTGCCAAAAGTTCGAGCCTACACTTCACAGAAATCATATGGTATTACAACAACATGCATAGTTCACGATGCAGGAAAGCTCATCGTGAAAGGTTCACAAAAGATTCCAACACAAATGCTTCATGAAGGTTTCATGAAGGTTTCAGGATGTTTTACCAAAAGTTGCATGATGTGCGGAACACATAACTAACAAGGACCATCAAGGACCCCAACTCGCCAGCTGAAACGCTCCAGCTCACAGGGCTGAACGACTCCACCGACCTGGTGCTAATCTCCGCCATATGTAAGGCGTCCACCAAGAAACGTATCTTACCGTGACTGCGGTAGGGATATGCATAAAAGATATCGAAAAATATCGTAAATAGATATGAATAGATATGAATAGTATAATCATCTAAACAAAGACCAATGCCATGTCATTCCTTGTTTAATTTGTCATCTTCCATAAGCTGTCCATTGCTTCTCACATAATTTATAGATATCTATAGGATCCTTCACAACGACATGAAACTGTTGATGCCACAGCGGCAAAGCTTGCGCCTCACCAAAGCCACAGGCAACGCAGTTGGTAGGGACCAACCACGGCGACGCCTGGGACCGATAGATTCATCGAGATGCCAAGGGGTTCGTTCGGAGCATGTCCGGAGCAACCGCCTTTGGGAGTGGATCTGACATTAAAACCTCCATTTTCCTATGGTTTTCCTATGGTTTTCACATTAAAACCTCCATTTTCCAGCAAATTGCACGGTCATCCTGTTGCTGAGAATCTCTTGCCGTTTTGGTCAAATCTTGCACGATCAAAACATATATAAACCAACAAATATGGGAGGGAAATTCCGGAAATGTTGTTGGCTCCGTGGCACATCTTCCAGCCCAACCCTGCCATGTGCCTTGCGACGATGGCCATGGCCATTGCAAACTCTTGGAATACCAAGCTCCCATCCGCATCACGATCCGAGAGCTGTCGCGGGGGCGCAAAGCAACACAGTGCTGCAGTATCACCCAGTATCATGCAGAGTTGCAATTGAAAAAACCTTGAAAAGCAACTGTTTCAACTTGAAGGTCTTTGTGGGAAAGATCTCATGCATATCGTCAACTGTGTTGGTTTCCATCACACATGATGTGTCTTCAACCGATGCCTGCCAAATGAACGAGAGCTCTTGCACTGGCAGGCCGCTGCTTTCGAAGATCTCTCGCCTAAGAGCTGGGCAGTTTCACACCTGACAATCGTATCGTAACTCAAGCATGGCTTCAAAATGCTTCAAACAGTTAGCTACTGCAGGATTTCAATGTATCCAGTGAGTCGAGTGGCTGTCATGCTTCCTACATGTGTAAAGGCACATCGCTACAAAAATTGTACTGTGAGGGCTGGATTGCACTGGTAAAATCTGGTAAATCCTCAGCGATGGTCTTCCTAACATGGAATTCTGGCGACACGAACGGCATTCCGCCATGGCTAGACTCCTCCAGGCTTCCCCACCCCTCTTCTTGGCCCACGATGCCTGATGGCGGCTGCATTGAGAAACTGGTTCCAAAAGGATTTCAAAATGACAGGATTTCTCCAGCCACGTGACTTCGCTTGTTCTGGCTTTCTGACTGCTTTTCTATGCTTTTCTCGTGGAGCGAGCATCAAGGTTCTTTCATCTCACTGAGAAGAAAGGCGGGGCGCAGTGACGCAGTGCCTTTGCTTTGGGCATCAAGGCGTTGGAAGGTTTGCAGATAGTGGCCCAGCTCCTGCCAGGGAGATAGGTCATTGCACCATATTTCAATATAATTAGTCGCGTTGAGTATGGTTGAGTGAAGTCTTGGTACTGTGCTTCTGAAGTGTGCCACAAAAGCTTTCCGATGAAGCCAAATGTTCCTTGCCATTGATCTCTGTGTTTGCAACCAGCCTCATGTTCCATAGAACTGTTGCTGCTCAAGACTTTTTTGCACTTCACCAAGACCATCCCCCGCGCCCAGTAACCTCCGGCTTGACTGACCAGTTTTCCTCTGGTCGTTGCGCCAAAGCCTAAGAATGCAGGTGATTGGAAGAAAACACACAGATCTGTTGCAAAATGGTTCCATCTGGCTCCAAGCAGCTGGATGCTTGTTGGATTTATCACAATGTCTCTAAAGTCAGCTAGGGTCACCAGCCAGCAAAGGCCCAGGAAGTTCCGTTGGCAACAGCCCCTGCGGCAGGAAAACGGCTGGTCTCATTCATGAGGTTTGGTCCAGTAGTACATCCCTTTGGTGCTAGCATGACTAACGGCATGTTTCTGGAAGTTGCAAATATCACTTCCATTCCAAGGACTGCGCAGGGGGGGAGTGATGTGGTCTCATATCGCCAGGGTGAAGGGCTCTACAGCACTGAAATGAACGATGTCAGGTTAACCGTATTAACCGGCTAATCCGTGGAGCAGCCATTCCATTTGTTATGTCCCTGTGATATCGCTGAAAAAAAAAATATATATTATATTTATTTATTTATCCTGTGGTGCACTTCAGGACACAGCATCCAGCGCATATTTTTTGGCAGTTGTCTTGCGCAACAATTTCGTCTTTTGGATTTGAGGTTGATTGAGGTTGGACCTTGCGTCCTCGGGCTGGCAAACTCTGGCCTTCTTTGGTTTCAGAATTTAATGAAATTAACACTAAAGAATCATCCAATAGCTTAAAATATCCCATGCGTAATCGAAGCCTTGCAGCGCACAAAAGTATGCAAAAATCGTATATAGTATACAGTATACACAACATTCCAAACTCTGACATCGAACGAAGTATTGAGGTCGCAAGGTGCCGAACGATGCAGCTGTGAGACATGATTAACTGCAGGGTTGCTTCACAGCAAACCCCAGAGAAGTCATTGCTCCTCCGATGGCACTCTGCTGGCGATGGCAGCTGGTATTGAACCTGTACGCGGCAGAGATTTGCTGAGTTTCATCAGAACAAGAACAAAGTTCCCTCCAAGAAAACACAACAGTAGAAAAGCACAAAAAAATGCCATTGCAACCAGATTTGAAGGTTTTGAGAGATAACTGAGATAACATTCAAGCTGCGATTCCAAACAGATGTTCGATTCCAAACAGGTTTGAAGTTTTGGAGTGGAAATCAAAGAGAAGATTGCAATACAACTGATGCTCGACGGGAAATTCGGTTGATTGGAGCTGCAAGTAGAAAACCATGCCAGTAGATCTAGTGATTTCACATCTCATCACCTATCAGCAATGTATCAAGATGTCCATTTACATTGTACATCCATTTACTATCATTTCATCATAATTGTATAGCTTCAAATAGATTGTGAAACCAATTCCATCCCAATTCCTACTAATCCCAAAATTCAAATACCCACCAAACATCACCAAACGAAACCGTGGTTGCGCACTATGGGGTGATATTTCCCCATCCAGCTGGGCCTTTCCAGCCGCCAGTGGCCCCTGAAGGTCACATATTGTGAAACGGAAAGTGCACCTGGAGGACCTGCGCCAGTTGCTAAATCGAAGGCGGATCACACTTTTATGACACTTGCTGAATTGTTTCCAGTATTGGCATGTATTGGCTCCAAAGTCTCAGTGCAGTTCATGTTCTGTTTGCACCACATGGGGATGGCTCAAAACCCTGGTACCCCTGGTGAACATCAAAATAGCTGGTAAATGGATGTTCATCCCACTAAAATGTATCTATAGGTATTGACCCATACCCATGTTCTGTTTGCACCACATTGGCACATATTGTCACCATCCAAGCGGTGCACCACGGTGCACCTCAGCCTTCAGGTGATCGAAGTCGCTCCCCCATTCGCCAGTGGCCCTTGGTCTGCCGGCCGTTGGTGTCGATCAACACACCTTGGGTCACTGCTGGGGCTGGTTGGAGAAAGGAGGATCATATGAAATAAATGATATTATATATATATATAAATGATATAAAAGGCAGGAACTTCGAAAGTCAGAAGACAGCTCTCTGGCCCTTCTTCAACTTACTTTCAAAGATGCGAGTGAACACAGTGAACAATGTCCCCCTTGCAGACAAGTGGCCAGCACCGTCTTGTTTACCGGCTCTCCACTGGCCCTGGTAGACGCGGCCATCGGCCCACGTGAAGGTGCCCTCGCCATGCTTCATGTCACGCTCCTCAGGTAGGACTGGGACGAGACTTTAGCTGTTGGCAGAGGTGGTGGCTACAGAGGTTGGTAAATATTGGCAGCTTGGTAAAAGAGATTTCTTGTCATGTCAAATATGTCAAGCACAAAATCCAGTGCGGCTGAATCTCGTAGCCTCCTTCGTATCGCGAGCCATCTGGCATTTCCATCTTGCCATAGCCGCTCATGTGACCCATCGCCCATTGACCCACGTAGACGCGACCATTGGCGAAGCGGTATGTCCTTTCACCATCCATCCTGAGAGCAAACAAACTCCAAACTGTACGAGTACTGTACGTACACTGTACAAATCTCTACAAACTCCTTCAAGCATCTGCAAGCTGCATATGCTGCATGATGAATCTGCTCTAATGACCATGACCTCTGGAAGGTCTTTTTTCCATCTCCAATCTTCAGAAATCGCATGAAATCACGGAGCACTGTCAAAATTGTCAATTTTGCGGGCTGTCAAGCTGGTGGCCCTGACCTCCACCAATCGACATCAAATTTGCATCACTTTGCCATCTTCCAAGCTTCTGATCGTTGTGAAACTGGCCTTCGTATTGTACACCTGTGCCAGATTTGTAGACTCCGACACCTCAATCATCAATTCCAAGAGCACACTTTCAGTGGGGGCGCTGTTGTACAGGGCTTCAATCCGCCAGCTTTTCTGTGGACATGTTGAAGTCTTCGTCATTCTACCAGATCAGCTTCAACCAAATAAACCCTGGAGATTTTCTGGGAAAACACGTCCCCATACTTATTCACCTTAGTCCATAGTTTCTAAATGTTACCAACCATAGTTACTAAGCATACTTCTTAATCATAGTTATTGACCATAGTTACAAACCATAGTTAGTAACCATGTTTACTGCCCATAGTCATCAATGCTCATCATAGTTGCTACTCCAAGGTGCCGTGCTTGCTGCCATGAAGGAACTCTCCCTCATAGCGAGCACCGTCCGACCAGGTCTCAATGCCTCGTCCGCTCTTCTCGTCAGAGTGCCACCTGGGAGTTGTCAGGGCACCCATAACTTGGGATATGATCCCTGCAGATAGGTTGAGTATGTGGTTATAGTTATTGGTTATAGCTATTGGTTATAGCTATTGATTATATTCTGTTATATTCTGGTTATATGTGTATATCTTATATCATGTACCAACTAACCATAAAGTTAGATAGTTTTCTGGTTATGTTTGCTGGAACCATTCAACAATCCCCGATATAAGGTACGGACCTCACATTCGACCCTACCGCAGCCTCACATTCGACCCTACTCCAAAATAACGTCATGCAGCCTCACATTCGACCCTACCCTAACAAAAATACGCAACCCTTCCAGGAAAAAAGGCCACTTTTTCCGGTTCACATTTGACCCTACCCCACTTTAACCTGCCTCAAACCAGAAAAATTACATTCGTTGCTATCAAATCAACCAGCCCCCCTTGCACAACTACATTCATTGGTATCAAATCAACCAGCCACCCTTGAACCATTGCATTCATCGGTATCAAATCAACCAGCCCCCCTTGAACAAGTACATTCATTGCTATCAAACCAACCAGCCCCCCTTGAACCATTACATTCATTGGTATCAAATCAACCAGCCCCACTGGCACAATTACATTCATTGCTATCACATCAACCAGCCCCCCTTGAACAATTACATTCATTGCTATCAAATCAACCAGCCCCCCTTGAACAATTCCATTCATTGCTATCAAATCAACCAGCCCCCCTTGAACCATTACATTCATTGGTATCAAATCAACCAGCCCCCCTTCAACCACTACATTCATTGGTATCAAATCAACCAGGCCCCCTTGAACAATTACATTCATTGAAATCAAATCAACCAGCCCCCCTTGAACCATTACATTCATTGCTATCAAAATCAACCAGCCCCCGCCGTGACAATTACATTCATTGGTATCAAATCAACCAGCCCCCCTTGAACAATTACATTCATTGCTATCAAATCAACCAGCCCCCCTTGAACAATTCCATTCACTGGTATCAAATCAACCAGCACCCCTTGCACAATTATATTCATTGCTATCAAATCAACCAGCCACCCTTGGACAATTACATTCATTGCTATGAAATCAACCAGCCCCCCTTGAACAATCACATTCATTGCTATCAAATCAACCAGCCCCCCTTGTAACATTACTTCTGCTACCAACTACCAGCCCCTTGAACAATTCCATTCAATTGGTAAATCAAATCAAACATCCCCCCTTCAGACCATTCTACCTTCATGGCCCAGCAAATCACCAGCCCCCCTGGAACCATTCCATTCAATTGCATCAAATCCAACCAGCCCCCCTTGACGCATTACATTCATTGGTATCAATCAACCATCGCCCCCCTTGAACCATTACTTCATTGGTATCAATGCAACAGCCCCCCTTGAACCATTACATTCATTGCTATCAAATCAACCAGCCCCCCTTGAACCATTACATTCATTGCTATCAAATCAACCAGCCCCCCTTGAACCATTACATTCATTGCTATCAAATCAACCAGCCCCCCTTGAACCATTACATTCATTGTATCAAATCAACCAGCCCCCCCTTGCACCATTACATTCATTGCTATCAAATCAACCAGCCCCCCTGGCACCATTACATTCATTGCTATCAAATCAACCAGCCCCCCTTGAACCATTACATTCATTGGTATCAAATCAACCAGCCCCCCTTGAACCATTACATTCATTGCTATCAAATCAACCAGCCCCCCTTGAACAATTACATTCATTGAAATCAAATCAACCAGCCCCCCTTGAACCATTACATTCATTGCTATCAAATCAACCAGCCCCCCTTGAACCATGACATTCATTGGTATCAAATCAACCAGCCCCCCTTGAACCATTACATTCATTGGTATCAAATCATCATCATCATCATCATCATCGTCGTCACTTTTGGGACAGGATAACCCCACATGCCGACTTCTTCCAAAAGCAAAAAACAACCAAGAAGATGGGAGGGGAAAGGCAGCCCCTTGGTGACAATTACATTCATTGCTATCAAATCAACCAGCTCCCCTTGAACAATTACATTCATTGCTATCAAATCAACAAGCCCCCCTTGAACAATTACATTCATTGCTATCAAATCAACCAGCCCCCCTTGAACAATTACATTCATTGGTATCAAATTCATCATCATCATCATCATCATCATCATCGTCGTCACTTTTGGGACCAGGATAACCCCACATGCCGACTTCTGCACAAAGCAAAAAAACCAGAAAAAGATGGGGAGGGGAAAGGCAGCCAAAGTAAAGGAGATGGTGGAGACAGATTGTGTGAAGAGATGTGTGGAAAAAAGTTTGTACTGTGACAAGTTGTGTTGACTCTCGTCATTCATCATTCATCATCACAATCATCACGATCCTCCGTCATCATCAAGGTCGTCACCATCATAATCATCATAATAAACATCACCATCATAAACGTCATCATGAATTCACATCATAATACACCATATTCACCGTAATCATGATCATTCAATCATTCACCATCAACCATCTCATGATCGGTCCATCATCATCTCATCATAAGTCATCACCGAATCATCATCATTCATATAATCATCATCATCACCATCATCGCCATCATCATGATCATCATCATCATCACCATCATCATGATCGTCCATCGCCATCATCATCATCATCATCATCACCATCATCACCGTCATCACCGTCATCATGATCATCATCATCATCATCACCATCATCATCATCATCATCACCATCATCATGATCGTCCATCGTCATCATCATCACCATCATCACCATCATCATCATCATCATCATGATCATCATATCCGGAACCCTCTTTTCGCAGCTAAAAACGCTACTTTCTCACATTCGACCCTACCCCAAAAAGGGGGTAGGGTCATATGCGAAACCATTGGGGTAGGGTCAAATGCGAGGCGCGTACCCGATATAACGTAACTAACTGAGGTACCCCCGATAACTGAGGGTGATAAATCCACTTTTAACTGGAAATGCACCCCCAACTAACATCCATGGTTTGATGTGCTGTTGACATGGACAAATAGTCGAGCTGAAATAGCTTCAGTCATCCTGATATTTACAGCAACATTACGAAATATCATAGAATTTCATCCAAAAATGATGGCAGATCTTCACAAAGTTCAAGAGCCTTAGAAATCTTAGAAGGAACTAATTCGTGTCTCGGGTCGCCCAGTTGTTTCACTGCAGCCACGAAGACTCACCCTCATATGTGGTGCCATCGATGTGAACGTACCTTGCAGCTGCCGGGAACTATGCCTGGATTCTCTGTCCAAGAGAGATTCGAGCTTTCCAGATCTCTGCAATTTGCATCAATTTGCTGAATGGTTGGTTGTTCATGGTTGTTCATGGTTCTTCAAACGATTAACATGAATTGAATGTGCTGCACGGCTTTTTTAATCTTTTTTTGCTGCCTAGCCGCTTGCCGTAGCCATGCTTCTGATCTTGGTGCCACTGCCCTGCGCGGCGTTCGGTGTGCTGGGACGCTAAATGACCAGGGGAAAAACGATCACTGCAGCGGGATGTGGCTGGAAGAAACCCTGCGAAAAATCATGGCCTCCCACCTTCCCCTGCACTTGTGAATCACAATTGGAGATGTTGGGGAATCCACTTTTGTTTGAATGCACCACTTCCCTTGAAAGAAAAAAAACAAAACCGGCTATCCTTCATAGGAAGTGCCACTCGACTCCGTAAAAGTTCCGTGGCCATGCGCCCGGTTGTCCAGCCACGCCCCCTCATAACCTCAGAGACAGGTAACCACAGAGGCGATTTGTCGTCTTCTCAAAAGAATGTACGACAATGTATGATTTGTCTGAAGTGTATGATTCCCGCATATTCCCGCCATTTCATCATATCCAGCCAATTAGAATATCCGTAATGTGGGTAAAACAATAATAAACCATCCCCCAAATCAGCATAAATAGGTGGTATGTGGTGGTAAAAACCATTCCCAAATGGGTGATCAGCTGAGCTGCGGTGGCCATCAGCCCGGGTCAAGACGCCGTGGCCATGCCTGGAAACACTGAGCCCCTCCCTTTAGGAACCAACCATGGCTGGCTGGAAATCCATGGAAATCCGCTTTAAATGGAGGTTTGAATGGAAAAATCCACTAAAAATGGAAGGTTTAATGATAATTAATGGGAAAATCATTCATTTCAGGCATAATTTTCCATTGCCATCTTTGATTACCATAGGGTAACAGGATGCATATGATGCCCAATTTGATACCAAGAACAGTACGCAGGAAACTCTCACATCCCAACATCCCAATTTCGATGGCAGATATCCCAGCCTCATGTTGCCTCTCCACTGGCCTTTGTATCTGGCGCCACCCTCCACTTCCATTTCTGGCTTCTCAACCAGATCAGCGAATTTCGCGCCTGCTCAGGGTTCAAGGATGTTCAGGGTTCCAATTCCCGACACACACATGAAGTGTTCGTCGTTCGTCCATGCTCTGCTAGGAGAGGCTGCAAACACAAAGGCTGCTACAAATAGAAGCTTTGCAAAGCGATACCATGGAGACCTTCTTGGAAACCCAAGATCACTCTGACATTGATACCTGTCGCTTGAAATCCATGCTCCAAATGCATTCTGGTTTGTAGGAGACTGCTGCAGGCCTTCTAACTTGGCGATTTGTGGTGCTGGAGCAACATCCTCCTCCCCATAGATGAGAGTCTGATTCTGAGCGCCATCGTAGACCTAACAGTACTCACCAAAGATTGAAAATAGAGAGTTAGTGTTGCAAGAGAAATGCGTTTAGTAACAGCTACTTTCGGCGTCGCAACAATCCCACCGTAGTAACAGCGGGGTCAACTGCAGAAAGAAAAAAAAAGTGGACACACTTGTCGGGTCCCGCGCTGAAAGGACTGTGCGTTATGGATACTTGGAGTCTGGTGCTCCAGGAATCCTCCAATAAGATGAAATACCCACCAGTAGTATGCTCCACTCAGACTCTCGTCACCAAGAAACATCACTATGCTCCGCAGCGCTGTTGGAGCAGCAAACCTCTCTAAAGGGATTGCATGCAAGGAAGCCCTTGCTGGCCATCGGCCTCAGCTATCTGCCAGGGATTTGGAGCTGAACGGGAAGCATAACCATTATGTTCATTCATGGTCAATGTATGCAGTCAATGTGTGGTAAACATCGTGGTAACCCCTTCATATTCCACCATGACGCACTTCGTCAGGGTTTCCAGTCATTTGCAGTTTCATGCTTCACCTTCCACGAATTTGAGGAGCTGGCGCTGGCTAATTGGAATCAATGCGTTTCCAACAAAAAGTTTGCTGCGTGGATGGCGGGTCGGGTAGGCTTTCAGGTCAAAATACAATTGTACATCCGTGGAGATCCATGGATTTTGAAATCAACCATCCAACCCAGTCCACCTTGCCATATCAACAAGCAAGAATCATTGAGCATGTGTGTCACTAGTAATAAGGAAAATCTGGTACAGTATACACTGCGACTCATCAATTTCACAGTTTGAGTACCACCTGAAATCGCTGAAATGTGGATGGCTTAGACGTGACTTGGACAGTGGTGCAAGCTGTTCAGGCTTGCCCCCCACCTCCTTACTCCTCTTGCACGCAAGGTGCAGGGCGCAGAGAAATTCTCCCTCGTTCAGCCGGCCATCCTCAACAAGATTTTTCCCAACGGATCAATCAATTCAAATGATGTTTAAAGTAAATCATTCTCCAGATGTTTGCGCGGCATCATCTGCATCCATTGGGAAAAAGCACCAGAACGTTGTTGTGCACTGTCTGTCCTTAGGGCTTGGATCAGAAGCTGTGTTGCCAAGCCAATAACAAGCCTAGAAATCCAGCAAGGCTGAGAGCTCCTTGTCCACATCTGCCAGGGTATAGATCTGCGCCAGCTCATCCTGTTTCGGAAACCCTGTTCTCGACCGCTGTGAAACTTCATATCACATTTTGCATCACAAGATTCGAGAGGCAGAGTTGGATATGATTTGTTTGTTGCTCCTGCGGCAAGTTGGATTTCACCAGGACAGCTCTGGCCTGGAAACACTTCCAGGAACGCGGAGGGGGGAAATTTCAAAGCTGGAGAAGCATCAAGATCAAGCCCATTCTATACTTTGCGTAACTTTGTAGTACTTTTTGGTCAAGAGATGTCAAGTTTTGGATGTCGCAGAATCTGCAGAGCTCATTTTGAGTGACGGCACCTCAGTTGGCTCCACAAAGCCGTCACCATCCACATCTGCTCGGGCGAAGACGGATCGATACCTCGGATCACCGGTCTCATGGTGAACGTGACTCATCTCCTTTTAAGGGCTGCTACTTTCAATACACAACCTGGACTCCCCTTGAATATCTTGAATGAAATAAAGCAGACTAGGCAGGAGAATGGATTTAACGAACATGAAGGGAGTCAGTCTACAAATTGATCTCAATGATCCATCAATTTATCAGTCGGTCTGAGCATCCCAACTTTTCCATTCTGTCGTCCTCTATAGCCCATGCCTGTCACATGCAATGCTTGTGTAAAAGCGATGTCGATTTGGAACTAGGGGAAGAAAAGAGTCTTGGTGCTGGACCAAATTCTGTGCTTGCTTGGAAGGGCTTGTGGAAGCAGAACCAATTAAAAACGAACATTGGATTAGACCAGGATGGAAGTTGGACCAGCAGCCAAAGAACATTAACTTTGATATATATATATATATACATATACATACATAATATATATATATATAATACATGAACGGTGTTCTTGCTTCTAGACATCTGTAGCCGGATATCTGATCCCTCCTGTTCACCTTCGCCATCGAGTATCTATATGATTTTACATGTATATATCTACTGTTTATCCACGCGGAAAAAAAACAGGTGATGCCAAGTGATTCAAAGTTCCTGCGTCAGACCTCGTCATTGGTGACTTGTGCCTGCCTGACGGTGGTGGATGATCCGGATGCCGGCACTGGACAAAAACTGTGGTATACATGTCACATGATACCAAAAATACTAGAAAATCATCGCTCACAGGACTTCAGCCTATTTGTATAATCCATCCATATCATCCATGATATATATATATATACAATTATTTATATATATATATATATGTTGTATTTTTCCCCAGAAAATCTTCAATCCTGAGATTCCCACGACTTCATTTCTCCAGAGCCACTCCGTTGTCTCTGCATCGGCGTCCTCAATCCATGGATCAATGGCAAGCCTTTCGATGTCTTTCGGCATCTTGATGTTGCTGTCTTTGTCTCAAGCAATGTCACACTAAGACTCATGCGATCTCATGTCCCCAAAGCCATTCCTGCACAAAAGTGTCAAATCAAGAATTGAGCTTGCTGGTCAACTTCGGAAATCAAGAAAAGACTCCCCTGCAGATTTGCAGTGCTGAGATTCCAGCAACTGCGCGTCTGCAGAGCCATTTCTTTGAAGTGTCGGCGTCCTAAACAACACTGATTTGTTCTAGTTGCTGCAGGGACTCTCATCCAACAAAACCGTTGAAATAAATGCCAGCTGCCGTGCATCCGTCGACTCTAAGACTAGTACGATCTCATTTCACCAGATGCTCTGCGCATCATGGGAGTCCTTCTATCAGAACACAGAGGGAGAATGTAAGTTGGATAGAGTAAGTTGGATAGCATTGGATAGCTGAGTTGGAGTTTCAAAAATGATACATCAATCCTCATTGATGCAGGTGCGTGTTCTAACCTGAGATTCCCACGACTTCATTTCTCCAGAGCCACTCCGTTGTCTCTGCATCGGCGTCCTCAATCCATGGATCAATGACAAGCCTTTCATCTGCGATCTCATGTCCCCAAAGCCACTATGTTGCATCTGGGTCCTGCAGATGGTAATTATTTCAAAACGTTGTTGATATCAAGTTATAAAACACGTATATATATATATATTATAATATGTATATATATATATAATATATATATATAATAAAGTAAAAAAATATAATATATATATATGTTGTTGTTTCCCCAGAAAATCTTCAATCCTGAGATTCCCACGACTTCATTTCTCCAGAGCCACTCCGCTGTCTCTGCATCGGCGTCCTCAATCCATGGATCAATGGCAAGCCTTTCGATGTCTTTCGGCATCTTGATGTTGCTGTCTTTGTCTCAAGCAATGTCACACTAAGACTCATGCGATCTCATGTCCCCAAAGCCATTCCTGCACAAAAGTGTCAAATCAAGAATGAGCTTGCTGGTCAACTTCGGAAATCAAGAAAAGACTCCCCTGCAGATTTGCAGTGCTGAGATTCCAGCAACTGCGCGTCTGCAGAGCCATTTCTTTGAAGTGTCGGCGTCCTAAACAACACTGATTTGTTCTAGTTGCTGCAGGGACTCTCATCCAACAAAACTGTTGAAATAAATGCCAGCTGCCGTGCATCCGTCGACTCTAAGACTTGTACGATCTCATTTCACCAGATGCTCTGCGCATCATGGGAGTCCTTCTATCAGAACACAGAGGGAGAATGTAAGTTGGATAGAGTAAGTTGGATAGCATTGGATAGCTGAGTTGGAGTTTCAAAAATGATACATCAATCCTCATTGATGCAGGTGCGTGTTCTAACCTGAGATTCCCACGACTTCATTTCTCCAGAGCCACTCCGTTGTCTCTGCATCGGCGTCCTCAATCCATGGATCAATGGCAAGCCTTTCATCTGCGATCTCATGTCCCCAAAGCCACTATGTTGCATCTGGGTCCTGCAGATGGTAATTATTTCAAAACGTTGTTGATATCAAGTTATAAAACATATATATATATAATATAATATAGTATATATATATATATACATTGCAGTTAACCACTATAACTATAAAACGTGGTAGTAGCACCATGTCGCTAGTGTGGTCACAATACTGTTGGGAAATCAAATCATAAGCCGTAAGTTGTTCGAATCAGTTACCAGCTCTTCAGGCTTTGCTTCACCCCGACGCGTCGTTGCTCATATTTAGGGAATCCTTTTAGCTGTGGAGTGATTGAGGCACAAAGACTTATTGAGGCCTGCGTCCCACACAAAACTGAGAAGCTGGCGCGTGACTGTCCCAAGAACTGACGGGCAATGCAGGGGTCCTCAGTATACTCCGCTCCTACTGGTGCTGGCTGCCCTACAAGCTGCAAATCCTTCAAGATCCTTCAAGGCCCATAACTGCGGCTTTTAGAAGGCGCTGCAAAATACTAGCTGGCTTGCTGGCTTGCTGGCTTGCTGGACAACTGACATCTGAAGCGGACTTCGGAGCCGTTTCTGCCATGTGACAGCCGGCATCTTTCAAAGCCCAATCTCCCGAGCACTGCACGTCATGGAGGTGTGCATCTCTTTTGGCTGATCTGCATCGGGCCTTAACCACTGAGGTGACTGAGGTGACTGAGGTGCATCTATCAGCTTGTTGGACAGTTGACCACCATCAGCGAATGAAGTCAGAGAAACAAGCCTAGCTCTGGCTTTCTACAAATAATGATCTAACAGATGATCCAACCCATCGAAATCATCGAACAGTCATCTAACCCCTCAGTCAATCACAATTCTCCAGAGACCGTGCGACTTCGCGGTTTTGACCTTGCTTAGCGTTCCACTGCGTTCCACATCGTTCCCGCTGAGGGAAGAGACGGCAACGAAAAGACAATGCGGTTCCTTGATGATTTGACCTTTCCCGATCAAACATAGGTTTAAAGTTTAAATAAACATGTTTAGACATGTTTAAACTGTTCATGTCAAACTCGGGCACATCAACCATGCAGGTCTTGTTTGTTTCAAGTTGAGTTCCGAGCCATGCATCTGTGCCCATGTGGGCCTCCCAGCAGCATGGGATTTGAATCTGTGGAGCTCGCAGTGTTGCCGTGTTGCCAAAAGTGATCAGATTTGCAGCTTTCACAAATATTACAAATACAGACCACAAATGAATGACCACAAAAACTGAACGACCGCTACAAACAGCATACATAAGTTGTCTTTTGAACATATTTTAGCACTTCGCAGAGTTCTGTCCACCCGTCACATTTTCCACCTCTGCTTCTGGCCATTCGCTTGCACCTTTGGCAGTAGCATTGTTGACACCTTGTGATTACCTAAAAATGAAAGTGCGGCTATCATGCAATTCATCTTGTACAGTAGTTGTAAATTTACGTAGATTCAAGTGATTCAATGTGTCTAAGGACCGCTCTCTGTGCATTGTTTATGATACAAACAGCATGTCTGGGGTACTTCAGCAACATACGACATGACATGTCTTGCTTTGCTGCAATTTTAAGTAATTAGGTGAGTCCAACAAACATACTGGCGTCACATTGCTTAAGGCCCAATGTTCCAAGTTCTGTCGGTGTTGCGTTTCCAACTAGGCTTCACGCCAGGTGCTGGGGCATGCCTGGCGTCCCAACAGGTGGTCGCACGCCCCGCCAAAAAAAAAACTCCCTCCGAAAAGTTGTGATGTGGGGACTATCAAGGTGAACCATGGAAAAACACCATGCCACGAGGCCTCCGCCGAGAATGCCGCTCCTGCACAGAGATTGTTGTCAATCACCTAGTGACAAACCCACGCAATGTTACAATGCTGTGCAGGTGTAGTTTTCCAAAGATACATTTCAGATTGTTGAGTAAAACTTACCGTGAAAGTTAGAGCATTGCTACAACAGACCTGCCTGGCACATCTACGCAACCAGTGCCACCTCCATTTCCCAGACATGCGTCCAACTGCGCCACCATCAGCTTGCAGGTCCTTGTCTTTTCGATGCTTTCCTCCTCCGTCCTGCATGGCAAGATGGTTTTCGCATGTTTTCGCTTCCCCAAACCTACAGTACCTCGTGAGAAAACACATCACTAGTGTCCTTGGCTTTCAATTCCCAGAGCAAACCGCAAACCCTCAAGATTAGGCAGCGACATTTCAATGCTTAAATATGTTTGAATCACATCTGACCATGTTTCACCAACACTCCTCCTGAAGATCTTTGCTCTCCTGTCGAGTCATTGTCCTTAGGCTGAACATAACTTCACATGAGATGCATCAATCTGATCTTGTGCACTCCAGCTCTACTGCGAGGATTCCGTCCCAAACTTTTGTGGAGCATCAAAATGATAGAAGGTTGCCATGTCACACTTACTAAATCACTAAACCAATACTAAACTGCAACTGCTGAATGACCAATCACCATTGCAACCTATTGCAATCTGAGAGCATCTGAGACTTCTCTGCGCCCCATGCATCTCCTCCGAGCAATTAAGAAATATGGATGGACATATCTAAAACAACCAGAAATAATCAGAAATACAGTACTCAGATGTACTCAGTAGATTCCAACAGTGTCTTCAAGGTGCCTCAACAAAAACGTATCGTCACAGAATCATAGAAGTCTGTTGTGCCTGGTGTCTCCGAAATTAACTTCGGCTTTTCAATTGAGGCCACAAGCTGAGCTTCTCCCACAAGGCCACGAGGCCCAGATGAACGGATGACCCATTGCATCCCATTGCCCTCCTGTACTCATCCGACCGCCTGCACCGCCTGCACCCCCTGCACAGGAACTGTGGAACAAGAGATGCTATCCTCATCCTCTAGGCTTCCAAAAGCACCATTGGGCACTCCGATGCACTCCGATGCACTCCGGCATATATCCCAGGTTCGGAAACCAAATGACCATGTCTGCCATGTCGCATCAGCTTCAGTCCTGCCTTCCTTTGGAAGTGGCTCCCAGCTCTGTGCTGCCCATGCACTACCTGAGACCCAACTGCACTTTGCGATAGTGGCCATGTCAAACTTGTATAAACTTGTGCAGATGCCGCTGCTACTAATCCTGCGGGTAAAGGACTCACTTTCAAAGCATTTGGCAAGATGCAGTCCATACCCAATGGTGAGCAGAATTGGGTGCCGCTTGGTGACTGGTAGACGTAGGCGTGACAGCATGAGCACCTGAGCAACTGAGAAGGCAGGATGGTCAGCCAAGCAAGGATCTCATGGAATTCCTCCGTCTCACACAAGTCAAGTCCTAAACCATTCAGCTCGATCATCCAAGAAGACTGTACCCTGGTAGATCAAGATAGATCAAATGAATAAATTGTGTGCATTCCTCTGAATTCCGAAGTCCGAGGCATGTTTTGGTCCTTATTCATCTTATTCTCACCATCTCTCAGCCAGGCACCAAAAGTCTTGAGATCCTGCCGAGCACCACTAGCTGCACTAACAGTGGCCAGTTTCTCCTTCAGGTCTCGGATTTCCTGAACCGTTTTTGCAACGGGGATGGGGTTGATGGGGATGACCATACGAAACTGCCGTGATACCCCACCTATCCCAACCCCGATCTGCCCTGCAAAGAAAGAGAGAAAGAGGACACCTTTCATTTCGTTTGGATCAAAGTGCAGGATGAGAACAGCTGCAAGGGAGGCATACAGGCATACAGGTACAGCACTATCACTAGCAGCTGTCATGGAGGAGTGGCCGAGGAAAAACCGGCAAAACGACATGGTCTTGACATACATCAGCTATACCAGTAGTGCTGCACAAGGCGGTGGCGGAAGTTTCAAAAATAGGAAACTTATAGGAGAGGTTGGTTGTTGTGAATCACGGATGGCAGAGCGAAACCACTGATGGACCGACTGGTGGTTGAAGTCTCCTCTCTTTCTCTTCTCATCCACCTATCTATCTCATCTGTCTATCCAACTATGTATCTATCTATCTCCCCATCCACCTATCTATCTATCTATCTATCTATCTATCTATCTATCTATCTCTCTGTCTGTCTGTCTGTCTGTCTGTCTGTCTATCTACCTGTCTATCTGCAAGCTTGAAAACGAAGCTATTCTGCAAGACGTCCTCAGGTTTTGAACTTGAAAACATCAAAAACGAAACAATTCTGCAAAACTTTCTCAATGTTTGAACTTGACAACGTCAAAAACAAATCAATTCTGCGAGACTTCTTCGTTTTTCAAAGTTGACAACATCAAAAACGAAGCAATTCTGCGAGACTTCCTCAATTTTTGAGTTTGACAACATAAAAACGAAACAATTCTGCGAGAATTCTTCATTTTTCAAACTTGACAACATCAAAAACGAAGGAATCCTGTGAGACTTCTTCAATTTTTGAAGTTAACAACGTCAAAAACGAAACTATTCTGCGAGACTTCCTTCAAAAATGGAAAGTTAAGTGCAGCGCTGACGGCCTCGTACCAATGCGTTTGCGATTTTTCCACTCCACCTGTCTAAAGTACTGCGCCTACCACGAAAAATTGATGCCAGGTCATACGAAGTGCTGCACCTGTCACGCAAAATCATCTTAGCAAACCTACAGATCTGATGCTCCAAAATGCAACCCCTCTGAGGAAATCAGCGCCCTGACATCCTAACATCTCTGATGAACATGTCTTTTGTACTGCGCCCCCCACGCGAAATGCATCTTTGCAGATCCTCTTCAAATGTCCCACGCCTGCCTTCGTTTTTGGAAATGCTACAAAACCCTCACGTCTTGCTCACTTTTGAGAAGGTGCACAATCCGTTGCGCCTGCCACGCGAAACACATCTGAAAGTCCAAAAGTGGTCCGAACCCCCGGTGTATTGAACATTTTTTAACATGTTGACTTCGAAATGTGCTTCGCGCCACAACGGCGTGCACTTTTTCGACATCTCAACTTCCAAAAGTGGTCCGGACCTGGTGTGTTTTGTACATTTTGACTTCAAAATGTGCTTCGCGCCACAACGGCGTGCACTTTTCCGACATCGCAACTTCCAAAAGTGGTCCGGGGCTGGTGTGCTTTGTGCATTTTGACTTCGAAATGTGCTTCGCGCCGCAACGGCGTGCACTTTTTCGACATCTCAACTAGTAAAAATGATCCAAAGCTGGTGTGTTTTGCACATTTTGACTTGGAAATGTGCTTCGCGCCACAACGGCGTGCAATTTTTCATCTCTCATCTGGCCAGCTGGCTCCGCACCCGCCGCTTTAGCGAGCCTACTTTTCGACCCTCCGGAGCCACAAAGCATTGGAAAAACAGAGTGTTTCGCGACTTTCCTACCTTTTCGCGCATCTGCATCTTCTTTCTTCTGACTCTTTCTCGTCTCTGATCTTCTCTCTTCTACTCTTCTCTTCTCTCTGACTCTTCCCATCTCTGCCTTTCATCTGTCCATATTGCCGGAAGTTTGACTTCTAAACTTCCTTCGATAAGTGTGCTCATAAGTTTGCAGGTCAACTCTTTGCATGACAGTTCAATCTGCTGAACATGTCCATATTCCTTCTCCATGCTTTGGTAACCTCGACCAAGAAGGTGGCTTGGGTCAGTAGGTTTGAGGGTCAGAGCAACCCAAGTACAGGGCCATGCCTGAGCCAAGCGTTCCACGATTTCATCGCGCCGCCTGTCTGCACGTACCAATAATATCCAATAACATGTCCCAGTCTTTTCACGGATGTATAGCAATGCAAGTCTCAAATACGGTGTGCTACATGATGTTACACACAAGTACAAATGCAATTACGGATGCATCTGTATCCGCACATAAACTGCCAAATGTGCCGTACTTACAAATGCGCATGGTGGTAATGAAAAACGACTTTCTCCTCTCTTCTCAAGGGCCTCTGACAGACTACCATGACCATGAGTTCTGATCCTTGGCAAAAGCCATGTCTCGGAGAAGGTTACATGCCACAGCACCAGCGTCGCCTGGAGACTTCTTCAGCTTGTGCCTTGGTACAGTAACACAAACTACTGTATGCTTTCGAACCTTCATAATCTTCATATTATGCTCCTACCCGGAAACCTGAAGCCTCGCAGATCCATCAGCTGTCAATTTACTGTAAGAATGCTCATTTGGGTACTGTATGCGCCAGTGAGAGAAGACGGGAAGATCAAATCAATTTCTGTGTTGTCTTGGGGTCCCCTTGGAAACTGCCTCAAATCTCTTGACATGGCAGGAAAGCTCAACCACTTTCGGGTAAATCAATGCTGTTTTGATGAAATGAATTCTTTTCTGCATCGTCTTCTGGCAGTCTGGTCGAAATCCATGATCTTTTGGCATCCGCGCCAGAGTCTTTGCCGCCGCTGCTGCTGCTGCCTCCTCCGCCAAGGCCCTGCCAAAACATGTCATGTCAGACTGTCAGACTTGTGGTTGAAAGTCGTAGACTGGAGAGCCGAGGGCCGGGATTGGATATCAAATCAATCCCAGGTTATTGAAATTATTCAATTTGAATTCTGAAGGCGATGGTTCTTGGCAATTCCATTCGTTTGCTGACTCTGAGTTCAGAAAGTGATGGTAAGATGCCTCTGGAAAGCCATCACTTCTCGCCTTGGAATCAGCTAGAGCATGAAAGGAGAAACGAAGCATCGTTCACTATTGGGAACAAACAACGTGAAGCCCATTACTATAGGATATTGATGGATATTGGCTCAAGATTATTTGGGTTTCGTCGATCTTCGTTGCTTTAGCTATGGCAACTAGTGTCTTCAAGACCGCCATCCTTTCCTCTCAGTTCCTCTATCTTTTCTTGGACCAAGCGCTCCCAGTTCTGCAGCAAGAAATTTGGCAAATGGCTCAATCAGAAAGTATGTCAAGTGCCCAACTCATCCTTCTGAATGTGTGGAGCCTGCAAATCAAGGCTAGAAGGTGCATGAACATGCTGCCAATCCTGACAGCTCAGAAATCGTGCCAAAACACCATTCTCACTGTAAGGGCACGCATCATCATCATCATCATCATCATCATCATCATCATCATCCAGTAGATAGTTCGCAAAAGTATTGCATGTTACTAGATATATCTAGATGTATCTAGAGATATACAGACTGGCTATGGTGCAAGCCTCTTCTCTTGGCGACGCCATCCGTCGCAAAGCCTCGGTGTTTTGCATCTTTGGGTCGTTTCTTGCGGACAACTTCGTGTCGGGATGATTGATGTTCCATGCCAGTCCATGGCAATTGTTTGTCCGCAGCTTCCATGCCTCAACTGACCCTAAGTCCTAAGTGTGTTTTGCTTGATTCTACTCAGAGATCCGAAAAACTCAACTGCGCTGTCTCTAGTCCCCACCGTCCAGCCCCCCATATTTCACCATATTCTCCACCATATTTCTCTATGTTTTCCCATGTTTTCCAATAACAAATATCCACTGAATCCACGTGGCCAATTTGAGATCCTCACTCGTGCTGGTTGTGGACGCATGGCCCAGGAAATATCCACCTTTCGTGGTGACCTCGAGCCACCAAAGCTGCCACATGGCCTGGGGACGCCACAGGAGTCGACATGACAAGCTTAGGAGCACCGTTGGATGCCATGGAAAATCCTGGAAAGGATGAAGATGATGAAGATACATCGATGATACATGAAGTATACTATAATATACTATACTATAATATATATATAATTATATATATACAGTAATATGTGTGTGTGAAGATATGAAGTACTTGATGACTGGCAGATCTCAAGTACCAGGCTGGTGCGTTGGCAGAGCCCAGCTGATGTCAACCTCGGCAGCTGGAAACCCTGAAGATTTATGAAGATTTGGAGACTTTGGCAGCACAGTGCATTTGCCTTGGTGCATGTGTGCTAATGAGCTAATGCAACGATTCCCTGGTTTACTCCTTTTTCAATCAAGCGATATTGCAAGCTGCAACCAGAGTTCAAGCGCAAGGATGTTGCATTTGAGAAGTGTGCTTATCCAAGGATGTTGGGCTCGACTACTGAGATCAACCCACTTGATAGGGGATAGAGGCAACAGCCAGGACATCAATTTGCACATTCTCAAGGCAGTCCGAAACGCCGTCTAGCTCGCCAGCTTGGCTCTGAATGCACAGAGCTGCAAGTCTATTGCAGATGTTGGATGTGGATGATCCTGGTGCGGCCTCCATTGCGTCTTCCAAATCTTACTGATAGGTACTACTAATGAGCTGTGACCCCAACCACTAGGCTCTGCTGAAGCAATTCGGCACATCGACCGAGCGACTTGGTTACCTTTATCCAAACTAAGGGAGATTCCAAAGTGGAGCCAATAGATTGCCAAAAAAAACTTGGATTCGAGGCAACAGAAGTCAAAAGACATGACTTGCTGGCTCTGTACACAGGCAACGCCTTCTTGTGCCTTGCCAGCTGCTCAAATGGGCCACATGGTCATCGTATCTCCTTCGTGGCAGCTTCTCACGGTGTTCAATCTCGACTGCGCCATTGTCAGTTCTTCGTTGGAATTCGTCACAGCAGCTTGCAAATGTTTTCAGGTCCACTAGAGCTAGTGATATAGGGGGAAAGTAATGTAAATAAAATTGAATAAATATTATATTAGAAACCTCTGTGTATAGAGATCCTCTGGTCAAAGGTGTCTCATACAATGGTGCTCCACATGTTTAAATCTCTTGCCAAGGCTGCAATTTGTTCCAGCTGTAGTCAAGCCACGATAACGGTGGATCGGTCCTTGAGTCAATTGAGTTGATCAAATTCTCCTCAGTTTCTCCATGCCTGGCCTTATTTGGAACTGCAATCACGAAGAGGTGTCCATCTCCAGACTGGTTTAAAACCATTTCAAGCCTAACCGTTCAGTGCTGGATGCTACATTCGTGTCAGTTCAACTAGTCCAAGACTGCAGATCAAGATCCAAGTTTGCCAAAGTTCGATGCCTGTCATTTCATCTGCTACCTGCAGAAGGGACCTCCAGGCGCCCGCACTGTCTCACTCTTCACTGCTTAAGTCACTGAGATCGCTGTCCGCGTAGGCGGTCTCAGCAACCTTCAAGCCGGCGAAGTCAGCCAGTTGCGATGATTTCCATGATATGGATTTAAATCAGTGTTTAAATCAATATGATGAGTATCTTATAAATATATGTAATTATATATACATATATATATTCATGTCAATTTTGTATGCTATATTATATTAATATCAATCCATTTATAGCGAATAAAAATCCATCCCCACAAGGCACCTCGCTTGCGGCGCTCAGCTCCTCTCCAGCCGTTTCTGGCCTGCCATTTGTCAATGGGACTTCAAAATGAACTCCTTGGGTATGCTTGGAGTATAGGTAGATTGGTAGATTTATTTAGGGACTCGTCATTTAGATTGGTAGATTTATTTAGGGACTCGTCATTTGGATCAGTTTGGGCTATTATATGATATATGATATATGATATAATATTGTAATATGTATGATTATATATATATATATCATGTATATATAATATATATATATATGTATTATATATATATATATTACACGTATCATATATACTATGTGTGTATGGATTGTAGATGTACAATGATGGACAGGATCATACAGGATCCAATGTTGAGACATTTGGGGGACTCCCTAATTCTTGACCCTTCCCATCCCTTGCCCGCTAAGCAACTCCCGGTATGAACTGGCGCTGAGCTGTGACTGGTTTGGATCCCCAGCAGAATCACCCAAGAGACCATGCTATCTGACAAGCCAAGCAGGTCGGAGACACAGGCTGAACGCAAATGCAGCGGCCATCAGAGAGATAGCCTCAGCAGTTTCGCAAAGCCCTGAATGGTCCAAAGATGCCCAAAATATAGCTGTGGACTTGTGGACAAGAGACAAGTCAAACATACTGACTCCTTGGGGCCTTGACACACATCATAGATCCGCATTGCACTTGTGTGAACATGTCGCCTTGGAAGCACAGGCTGCTGGGTTTGAGATCCAAGATCCGGCACGTGCAAAAGCCAGGTGTTCTGCTCCAATGCCAGGGTGGTTTCCCTATGTTTCCCTGCCACCCCGATGCCAGTCCAGAGCTCTGAGGATGTGACTGATGACAAACGGTGCCAGGAAGGCACCAATCTTTGACAGGAGGTTCATCAACGAGTGTGCCTCTCAAAAATCGGGGAAAGCGAAGGCAAAACAAGGTGCTGAAATCGAACTTCAAAATCTTAAAGAGTCTCCGCCTCTCACTGCACCTACAGTGAAAACATCGTCCCTGCCTCCCCACGCACTGTGGTTGGAAAGAGTTCCGGGCATTGCACCTCAAGAACTGCCAGCAATCCAGCATTTTTCCTTTTCTTTGCATCTTCTGTCCCCAGCTGCCTAGCTCAAGACACAATGACATGTCTACAACAGAAACCGGCATAAACCGGCACCAAGCTGGGGCGCCCAGGTAGCACAGCATGCCAGCATGGCGGCACAACGCCCAAGGCTGGCCACGACGATCAGGAACTGAAGCGTGCAAATACAACAAGAGGATTCAAGAAATGTGGAATGGCTTCAGTGGCTCAATAAAATAATGGGAAAACCTCGAACGATCGCTGGAAAATGGCTTGATGATACTCCAAAACTAAATGACTAGAGAGGCATGATGAGGATTGTTCGGTCAGAACATAGTGGCTCAAAGTCACGGCCATAGTCAGCATTGAAGAAACTTGGAGTGTAAGTATCAAGATTCTCCAGACTTGATGAGGGTTGACATTTGTTGGCTCTTTTGTTTTGCACTATGGCCATTGTTTCACATCCGTATATGGTTGTGCACTGAATAGGTAGGAAGCTCCCTGCAAATGAAACTCTGCAGATGATCGTCTTGGTATCCGGACGACGCTCCCCAGCTCACGAAAGCCCAACATCAAACTGCAAATGCCAGTCATGATGTATGCAAAGCCTGAAAGAAGGCAGCACAATTTCTGAAAGTGCCACTTTTCCACCAGCAAAAAACATGTCGTGATGTGTCAAAGAGATATGGACATGACACCTAGATCATACTGTTACTATATCTATGTTAGAAAGCTTCAATCACATACCCTCTCTCCCAATACAGTATGTCAGCTGACACACACTTCCTTTCATCCTCTAGCCTCTAGACATCTTTAGACCACCATTGACCACGTCCGCTGAGAAAGACACCTTGCGTCGGCACTCGGCCAGGGCTGTCAATCCTCACAGCCCGTGAATCCTGTGATATCCTGTGGAGCCTTTTTGTTGATGACATCCATCGTGCATCACACTTCCACTCTACTAACATCACTTAGATCACTTAGATCACTTATAACCTACACTTAGATTCAGATCACTTATATTAAATATATTATCTTATATTAACTTATTAATTCTGGATATTTCTCTGAGGCCAGTCACGTGAAAGTGGCGATCAGCACACCCACGATTTCCATGGATGAGGCGATCACCAAGTCCTGGAGGTTTCAGGCAGCGCAAAGTCCTGGTGTCCTGGTGAACCACAAAAAAAAACAATCATTAAGTGATGGTCAACAGATGTCAACAGATGTCAACAGGGATGCTCTCATGTCTGGTGACTTAAAAAGGCACTGTCATCCACATTCGGAAAGCGAGGGGGTGCTGAAAAACCGCAGCCCAACAACTTGTTGTTCACTCGCCGTGGGAAGAGTTTCATCCTGGTTGTCGAAGCTGAGATTGCACAGAGCTTGCCTTGAATGGTACAGCTGCACTGATCCCTACCTGTTCCTATAGCCGACTATAGCCCACCCGAGGGTTGTTGAAGCTCAGCAGCGGGCGCACTGGACTCAGCTGGGTTCTTGAAGATGCGAGGAAGAAGCATCACGACGCCTCTCGGGAAGCCGTCCATCCCGTCCGTCTCTAGGAGCCAACAGAGATCAAAGAGAGACCCACCCATCCCCCTTGCCGTAGTAACCAACACCAAAGCCAAACCTGGCAATGCCAAAACAGAGAAGCATGGTGTCAAACTGAAACAAAAACAGAAATACAACTACTGCAGGGTGGTGTGAAAACATGTAAAAGCAACTGCACAAGAGCAGCACGCTAATTCTGCTGGCAGCACCACACCACACCATGCGCGAATGTCTTCCAACGCAATGCACTGCGGCGGCAAAGGTCTAGAGCACCTGCCATCGGTACGGCTGGAAGCAAGATCAACACCAGAACAACTCAACAACTTAAACCAGCCAGGGCCAACTGACATTTTCAGTGTGATTGTCAACCTTCTTCAAATACAGCGACCTAGGCAAGCTACGTGGCAGTTGAGCAAATATTCGTCAACACCCTTGGCACTTGGATGCAATTGGTAAATCACCATACATTCGTTATATTCTTTCTTGATGGTTTAATGATGTTTAATGAACATAGTAAGCAACGTAGTAAGCAAATGTAAACGCAACTGACACAATGAGAAGGTCGACTCGTCCCCTCACTGGGCCATCCAATCTTCATTGGTTCGCCGTTGTCCTTGGCCCATTTGACCACAATCCTCGCTGCCTTGCGCTGCTCCAACGTGCGTGACCGTGGCAAAGGGGGGCATGAGACATCTACACATGTTGTTCCACGGGCATAACAACAAAATCAACAAATCCGCCCGCACCGAAGGATCTTCCGGATGGCACTCGTAAAAGGTTACAGGTTTACCTGGGGGGGGGGGTCCCATTTTTCGGCCAAAACCTCCTGTTTTTGATAAGTCGTGACGCTCGCCTTCAAAAAACACTGTAAAAAACAGTACGGAAGACACCTGTTCGTGAACGCGCCCGTCCAAAATCGGCAAGCGAAAAGTGAAAAAACCCGTGTTTTTCAACTTTTTGACCTCAATTTTTTGGTTTGCAACATCTTTTTTTGCGGTTCCGCAGGTGGCCGGGCCCGGAGGCGGATTTTTGAGTTTTTGGACCCGTTTTCGGACTGATTTTCGTCCTTTTGTGATAGCAGAAACACTGGTTTTTACAGTGTTTTTCTGTTTTCTGCATGCTTGACGGCTAGCTTCAAAACTTCCAAAAACCTCGTAAATTACGCTGTTTTATGTTACAGTGTGAATGAAAACATCGTAAATACCAGTGTTTTTTGACATTGGTTAAAAAAACACTGTAAATTACAGTGTTTTTGGCCACCTGACCCTCAAAAACCATGGTATTTGCAGTGGTTTCTGCTTCTCACCGCGCAAAAACACTGTAAATAACAGCAATTTCGCCGTTTTTTCATGTTTTTCGTTATTTTTTGAACTGCGTTGGTCCGCTATACATGGCTATCAAATTCTTCGCGTTTTTTTTCCGACAATCAGTACTTTCGGATGTTTTTGGTCTCAATGGCCGACATCATTGGCAGTTACGAGCGGCTGCCCAACGATGCGGTGCGGGCGGTTGCCGTCGCGAAGCGACGTGAATATTTAATATTTATATTATATTAAGTGACATGGAGGGTCCCATTTCAATGGGGTTACCCCAATAGCTGGATGGATTATTTCAATTTATTTTAGAAGGAACGTCCGAAAATAAGACATGGATGACTTGGGAGTACCCCCATTTCAGGAAACCCTCAAATCAAATATCTACAATCAGCGAAGGGCCTCGTCTTCACGGTCCATATCCACCAGCCATCTTGGAGACTCGGGCAGCATCAATGCCCTGCACAGCAATAGAAACACAGTGAATCCAAGGTGGTTGTTTACAGCGAAAAACGATATTTCAGCTTGAATCTCAAATCTTAGAGAATTTGGACAATGTGTATATGTGTGTGTGTGTTTGTCTGAAAATGGATCAATATTTTGTGTTTACCCTCCATGTTCTGGGGAAAATGATGATAAATCATAGTTTATCATAGTTTATCATCAAATCCATGATCAAAATTTCGGGTAAACCCTCAAAATGAGGTAAACCCTCATAAACCCTCATAAACAGGAGGGTTTACCCCATTTTGATCCCCTATTGGATTTTCTATGATAAACCCATGGGATGTTGCAGGATCCAAGGGCCCAAGCCCTGCGACCGAGGCGATCAAGGTGGGTAGGGCGGCCATGGCAGTGAAGACCTGGGCTTGAGAAGTCAACTGGCAAAATGGATGGTTTTTAGGATGATATACGTGATATGTATATACTATATATATATACTATATATATACTATATATATACTATATATATATACACTATATATATACTATATATATACATACTATATATATATACACTATATATATACTATATATATACATACTATATATATATGTGTATGATTATATAATATGTGATATATAAAGCATTGTAAACCAATATTGATGAACTATATTAAATTCTAACTTATGCATAACTATCAACCGGCCATTGGTTGAAAATCTTGAAGTCAATCATTTTGACCCATACAGCATCGATCTTGGGCCAAAACCTGCCAGCCATAGCGTTCCAGCATGCACCAGGCGATGATATTCCTGGGCAAACATCATGGAGAGAAAAAAGGGGGATATCATAGGGATGGAATGGGATATATCACCAACCATTAATGATAGTGATGTTGGTTGTGTGTGAACATATGTGAACATGGATGAGAATAAAGTATACTATAATTTACCCTCCCAGTGGCCATTTTGACTGGAAAAATGATGATCAACCAATGGATTTGGGGATACATATGATATATATATATATATATTGTATATATATATATATATATTCAGACAAACCCAAACAGGTTTGTTGCAAAAGAGAAGGGAAAAAAAAAAACGAAGTTCTGTCGAACATCCTGTCATGTCTCCCGCAACGTTGAATCGTCGCACTCTTTCAGGTCAAAGTTCACAAAGTGCTGCCAAGACTCACCCAAATACTTCCCAGAGTCCAAAAGTACCTCCGACGAAAAATCGGCATCTCCAGGTAGTTCTCGCATCGGACAAAAAGTGTCAAAATGAAAAACTCATACACCACTCAGAAACCAAAAAAAACTGTACATAAAAAGAATCAAGAAGTATCTGAAGCCTTCCAGAAAATTGGGGCTCACTCGATGTACATCAGGAAGACTCCGCGACCTTGGCACTTATTGGCCCCAAGACCTCACCATGACCTCTCCAGGGGATCCAAGATGATCCAAGGGGCTTTCGCTGGGCAACGCCTCTGCCAAGATGTCGAAACCCACTGGTAGGCCTGTCCAAATCTAGGCCCAGTGGGAACTCCTCCCGGTTCCTCGACTTGTCTTTGAAGTCCCTTCAATCTTGAGATTGTTTGATGTTTGTTGATGTTTTGTTGTTCGTTTAAGTTGTGCCAGCCGATGATCTGCATGCTGCACATTCCATCTTTATTGAATATGACGATTGAAGTTGTCGATGGTTGTTGTCGGCTTCCTGCTACCTATACAATTCAATCCTCTGCAGCAAGCGTGTCCATCTCTCAGAATTGCAGTGTGGCGAATCGCCGGCTTAGCCTGCTACACCTATGCCAACCATGCCACGCATTGCAACAAGGCTCCAAAAGCCCTGGCCTTGGGGTTTTCAAGGCCAAGCACAGCCAAGCGGCCAAGCACGACAAAAGCTCTCATTTCCAAGCAGTCAGTGTGCACGCTGTAACAATATGTAACAGTAGTGTAACAATGATGGAGAAAGGCAGAGAAAGACTGCTTTCTCAGAGCCACACTAAGCGCAGTTGCAAATCCGAAGATTGTAATGACCGTGGATGACAGGATGAAAGACCTCATAAGCAAGCTCACGCCAGTCATATCTAGTCATACTGTATCATGTGTTAGTCATTTTGTGAAACTGACAGCGGCGCCTAGTCTCATGAAATCAGAGGTTCATCCTTGCATGTCCCGGACATCCTGCCTTCGACGCCCGTGGTGATCTGCAATCCAACCTAAGACAAACGTGAGTCTCTGTGTGTGTCTGAGTAGACTTGCTTTTTTGTCAGTCACAGTTCCAAAGATGTTTTGAGAGCAAAGGGAACGTTATCCCAAGGACCCATGCCTCTTTCTCAAAATCGTTCCTCCCTCATGTACCTGTGGACAAGAATTCAGCTTTCTTCGTAGGATCCCGGCCCCAGACTGGTGCGCCCACCACCATCCCAGCAAAGACCGCTGAAGTGATCAGAGACTCCTTCAGGGATTCTGCAGAGGACAAATGAAGTGCTTAAAGCAGTGGTTCGGGTAAGGAATTCAAGCCAAATCGGAAGGTCGAATCCGATCCGGCCGCATCGATAGCAGGGAGTTGGTGTGCAAATTCAGGTCCTCGTAGGAAGTAAGACCCCAGTCACAGCGCCTCAAGCAAATTTTGTGACGTGTCACTACGTGTCACTTAATAGCCAAATCAGTCATATTGTGAAGCATTTTGGCATGTTCATGGGTACAACAAACAAGGATTGCTGTAAATGTGAGACACCTCCATAGTTTCCATCTACAAATCTATAATCTCTATCCATGGCTCACAGTAGGATTTCCACTTCGCACCACAGCCACAACAAGCTGTTACTGGCATCAAGGCAAGACTTCAGTCACGTAGGACAGGAATGTGACCTGAAAGGCAGGATAGCAACTTCCAACACTCTCGAATGGGCTGGGAAAACAATACCACGTCCAACGTAAATGTTATCATGTTAACATCTAATCTTAAAACATCAACAACTTAACAATTTGGGTTTCTCTGAAAATGTAGTGCCTTCAAACTTTAACTCCAATGATATCATTGTTCCAATGGTTTTTATATTGTTCCTATGAAATCCTATGGAAAAAATGGCTACTTAGTAGACATCGACCCATCAACCGTCTCCCATCATGGCCCACCTCAGCAGCGTCGGAGCAAAAGGCGAGGCCACAAATCAGCAGGAGCTTATATTGGGTTCGTCCCACTCCAGCCTCGGATTTCTCAAAAAAAAATCGTTTTCTAAGATATGTGAAAGATGTTTGAATAGAGAAAACATATATGAACACAATTTAAAAAAAAAAAAACATATGAAAACATGTTCTTCACCGGTTCTAGTGGATTTTAGATGGATTTTAGATGGATTTTAGATGGATTTTAGATGGATGTTGATGGACTTTGAAAGAAAAGAAGATGGCAGTCGTTTTGGCCGATCGCCAAGAGTCTCCCCACCTCAAAGATGGCCTCGTCCACAGATATGGGGTTCAACTTCCACAAGGAGTCCTGTCATGTAGCCCATCGCGCCAAGACTCTGGCGGAAAACTGAGGAAAACTGGATGAAAACTGGATGAAGACTGATTGATCCCTATCTTTTTCTTTGGGAATCTTAGGCTGTGTTCAAACATGTCCACAACAAATCACACTTCTATCAAGGCAATATCTTGTTTCGTTCTACTCAGGCGCTGATCATGTTGGTTTGAGGAGATGTCAATCTGGATCCACTATCCATCACTAGCAGTCACTAGCAATTTCAAGCAGGACTAACATAGCCAACAACGTTGTTGACAACGAGGTAGTTTGTGTATGTCATCCTGTGTTCACATGTCAAAACAGCAACCATCCTAGGGACTTCCAGCCAAGCTGGTCAGCTTGCCGCAGATTGCTGCCATCGCTTGATTTGAATGCAGGCTAAGTTGGGCCAAGTCCGGCTAAGTGAGTCTTGACATAGCCCGACTGTTCTTCAATTTTCATCCTACACATCCCTCATGTGCTAAGTGTGGCCATCTAGTTCTTGAGCACGTGTAGACCCATCCAGCACCACAAGGTCACCCAGGCACAGCCTGTGTGAGCAGCTCAGGAGGCTCGTCATCAACATGATACGTGGCAGTTCCTATGGTACAGCATGGTACAGCAACGTCAGTGTCACAGTGAGGCGCTTCCTGTTCTCCCGAATCCAAGGTGACCACAATGTTGAACATCATTGAAGCAAATGGGTTTGTCTGAAAATAGGGTATATTCCCAATTATAGCCATTTAATAGGGATAATGATCATTAACCATTGGGTTTTAGGGGTACACTATTTTCAGACACACCCATATTGAACATCATTGAAGCAAATGAGGCTATGCCTGGCGACTATACCTGATGGTGAACAGTGAACTCCAGTGGACAGAATTCCACTTGACTCCCACCGGTCCGACCTGCAACGCGGGCCTGGAGGCTGGGGTGGGCGCAAAGCTTCAACACTCCCGGCAAAGTGTGGACTGGCTGCTCTCAAAAAAGGGTCTCAAAAACAGTGACGGAAAGGCAGTTCCAGATGTTCCAGTATGTTCCAGTGCACTACTCAGAAAGGCTCCAGGTCTGGTAGGCCATGGGGGATCCATGGGGCACCTTTAGTCATCGTCATCCTACGTCCCAACTTCACTAAGAGCACTAAGAGGGGCACGAACGAGACTCGTCGTTCCTCAGGGGAGGACTTGGATCAGATCGATCCTCCAACAGGGAACAGCCCAAAACTCAATGGGTTTACGGGAAATTGACACTAAACGCCGTTTGCTTATTCTGTTTTAAGTCCAAATATAGGGGGGTCCTACGGTGGGATCAACGGTATGGTTTTCTGCAATATGCAAATCGGTGTGTCTGAAAATATGACACACGCAAGATCTTCTGGTTATCATCACTTCACCTATCAAATAGCCATTTTTTGGTGTATACAGTATACCCCATTTCCAGACTGCGGCCGAAGGTGCGCTCTTTGGACTCCTGGGGCTGCGCGGGCTCTTGCGCGAGAGGATACTCGACAAACTGCCGTTGCTGGTCCTCAAAGCCACGGAAAAAGATTGTCCCTTTAGAATGGAGATGGATAATCTGAATTAATCTGCAGTACTATATTAATATTCATCTAATGGATCAAAATTGGGGTAACCAGATGATCCAATCATTATGGGATCACATAAAGAATAACCTATATAATTTCTGGATAATAATCATATGTAATATAATAATATATATTTACATATATAATTAACAATAAATGGATCATCTCCTGGCTGTTTTTTACCATTTGGATATCCACTGATTTTGATGGTGCTGCCAAGGCACTGCGTCGTCGTTGGCGCCGCCTCTGTAGGCACCCCAGTAGGAAGGAGGGGTGCCTGCGGCACAGTACCTCAACACAGGTGTCCTTTTAAGGGAAGAGAAACGCACTCCTAGGCTCTTCTCAAGCACCAGAATCGACAGCTCGTATGACTTTTATTTGGAAATGCCATGAAAATTCTGTCACAAGTCATGAGAACATCCATTTTTGATGTATGAATCTTATAAAGAGCATGAAGCGCAGTGCCTGGTGCAGGATAGAGAAGACGACCAGAGTGGTTCATGGCTCAGACTAGGTCATAGATTAGAAGATGCTGGGATTTGTGAATGTTTGTGAATGCAAGGTCAACTTTCTGTTTTTGTTGCGGTGCGGGCTGCCTGTCTGCTAGTGCCTATTTTAACAAAAGCCATCGACGTTTCTGCCAGATAGAATCTAGACAGCTACTGTACAGTAACTGTTCAAGAAATGACTCTGTGTTTATGGAGTACCGCACCTGGCGGGAATTCAAGACTGTTTATGTTGCCCCTGTTACCCAGCTACCACTTGCAGCACATGGGTCTGTTTGAAGTATCAATCATATTTTGTTGGTGACAGACAGATTCTGCATGGAATCGCGTGTAGCAGTGTAGCATATGCTTCGGATGTCTTCTGACCGAGTCTGATGCAAAACAATCCGCGTAATGCAGGCACAAGCCATAGTGAAAAGGTGATTAAAAAGAATGCGTGCCTATTGTTACACGGGATTGGAACGAAACAAACACGCTCTATTCTCATCAGCTCGTTTCAGACGGTTGACACTTCCCCTGCTAGGTGCCGAACGGCTGACCTGGCGATGTTCTAAAAGGCATGGCATGGCGAGGTACTGACTACACAGCATGCCGGTGACAAGCAACAAGTGCCTTGCAGTCGGACTGGGAGCACTTGCAGGCTTCATTTGCCATTCCTGCGGGCGATGCCATGACTGGGCACATAAGGAACTCATAAGGAACTGCTCGAGTCCTGCAACATTGCTGAAACCCCTCAACGCATCTCAATGCTGCTATCAGCATGTTCTGATCCAAAGTCATTTTAGTTCAGGAATCTTGCCCTGATGAGAGCACCCAGCGTCTACATAGATCCTCATCAGCTGTTGTCGGCCCTACATTTCCACGCATCCTCTGGAGTTCTTTTCGTGTTCCAAGGAACTGGCTGATGTGAAAATTGGCCAAAGGTTCGATTCACGAGCTCTTTGATTGATCCAAACATGGGACAAAAGATATCATGAGATATCTATGCCGCTATTCTACGCTCTAGTTTGACCCACACAAACAGGCTTGCCAATGGGATCTACAAACCTTCGGTCTCAGCTTGCGAACGATCGATCGAAGTTGCGATCTATTGCTGATGTGCACATCGGTGAGACACCGGAATCGAGAGTTTCTTTCCGCAAGTGCCAAGCTGACTCCCTGGTCGTGAGATTCTTTTGGAAGCTGGGCAAACAACGTCAAAGGTCCGTTTACTACACAATCTCTGCAAAAAATGCAAAAGCAAATTAGGTTTCTCCCTCAAGCGAGTCATCAAAGCATTGGCACTCCCGACCCCATCGCGACTCACCAAGCTAGCTTGTGAAACAAGATCAGCTGCCTGCAGATCGCTCGCAGAAAATAAATGCTCATCAAAGGTTGTATAGCTGAGCAAAAAGACACGAAAAGTTCTTGAACCACCTTTTTACCATCAATTTTGTGAGAATATGGTTGCATTATATATCATTATATACATATTATATACATATGCGGCATATGCGTGTGTGTATCTGGTTCAATGCCAAAAACCCTTGACCCAACTCGTGGGCCCCTTGGCGTACCCGCTGGAGTTGCCGCTAGGCACTGCTTCTGCGACCTAAATCGAAGCGACAGAGCGGGCAAGTCCTGACATCGAATCATTATGGAATCACCGTGGGGATTCTCATAGCTGCCATAGCTGATGACAGTCATGAAATGTCATGAAATGTCATGAAATGTCATGAAATGTCATGAAATGTCATGAAATGTCATGAAATGTCATGAAATGTGGTAAAGAGAATGATAAACCACGCCAAGCAGTACTTCCATGATATCGAGACATCGTGTTTCATCACAGAACCATCACACAATCATCATGGAAATCATCATAGGACTCCTTTCCAACAAGAAAAAAGGGCAACACATGACTTCGATGGATGCTTGAAAGGATGAAGTATGAGGTTTCAAAGCGCAGATGTCCTGTGCATTTGCAGCCAATCTTGAAGATGTTCCTGTCCATTTGGCAATTGCAATCCGCATATGAAAAAACAGGGCGGATCATCCACTGTCGCTGACTTCTTATCACATCCACTCAGTTTCTCAGCGTGAACTTCTTCGAAAAGTCCATCTTGGCCTTGTGAAAAACGTGGCCACAGCCCTTCCTTGGAACAGGCAATGTGCCATCCCTTTGAAGACATGCACCAAATTAGTATGTGTATATATATATATAATTATATATATAATTGTGTATATATATATATAGATTGATTAGATCACTCCAAAGACAGAGCTGATGCTTTCAATGGGGGAGGCACTCTGAATTGACACAGAGACCATGCTTGCTTTGGCGATCCAAAATTCGCTCAGCGAGTTCTGAGACATGGATACGCATGGATATCTGCGTGTTCCTCCTGAATCATTCCATAAGTCCATTCATCTCATGGAATGCGTATGTGCTTTATGTGTTCTCAAAGCAAATCCAAGTCCAACCAAACAATCCAAGTCCATCAACCCGGAGCCCACGAAAAATTTCTGCCATCAAGACATAATCAAAATGTGACCATGTCAAGCCACGTCTTCACCAGGACTTCATTCTCACCAAAGTCCTGGCACTGATCAAACATGAGAAATTCTGCTTCAATGGGTTTTAAAGCTAAAATAGATATTTGGACCAGGCCCTTTTTTTCCGCCACATGTCGCATTCCTATTCGCCACGTATACTTTTCACACTTTTCACATGGCGGCCATACCGCCTTTTTTCCATCCCGTCATCGGGTCGTCCTCTAGGCAGATAGGGCACTGCGGATGGTCCACGATGGCGGGATCGTCCAAGCCCACTTCCTGACGATCAACGACGGCAGGCCAGTTCCGTTGTGGGCAGGCCATGGGTTCTTCATTGAGGCATTTTCCATAGGCATCCCCTATGCAAAATGCTCATTGAATTGATGTTGATTTGCTGGTAAAAATGGATAAAAAATGGTGCTTAGATATGTTAAAGTCTGTTAAAGTCTTGGTGAAGGGATTGTGAAAAAAGCTGCTAAAATACGACAAAAATCTAAAAAATCAGCCAATCCAAGTCCCAGCCTTATATAACTTGTATAACTGTACTTCCCAACTGCCACTCGGCTCCACCATCCCTGGTCCCACCTCCGTGTTTCGTTCCAAGCTGCCGGGGGGCGCCGCATCACCTCAAACGCAAATGGAAATGCAGGATCGATGGATTGATGGATGAGGAAAATCATGGATTGATAGAATGAAACATTCGAATCAATTCTGATGCTAATTTGTGTGAAATTATGTGGAATTCTGTTGAATTTTCTGGACTGATATGGACTGATATGGACTGATATCGACTGATGCGGGGGGAATAGCTTGCACTTCTGCCCAGCGACTGACGCGAAAGAAACCTCTCCTGGCCAGGAAGTACAGCAGTTGGGAGAGGCCCGCCACCCCGATGAGGATGAACATGGAATACATCAGGTTGAAGCCCGCCTGGTGCAACGAAAACACCAAAACAAAAACTGAAAAATATGCCATAAATGTGCCATAAATGTGCCATCAATGCCTTCCAAATACATCCAAAAACCAAAGATTTGAGAAGCAGTAGCTACAACTTGGCTGCAACCTTTGAAAACATTTGAAAACAACACTTGGTTGCTCAGCTGATTTTTTGCCACCAGTGCTGTTTTGTCCAAGGCACATATGCACGTACAGCCGACAATAAGCCTGCGGCAACCTGACAAGCGAAGTATGACAAAAGATGACAATAGCATCTACCCTGTGGTAATCATGGTAATTTATGTTCCCATTATTTCCCATTAAAGCCTCCATTTATAGGGGATTCTATGGGTTTTTTTTCCATCATTCCAACCACCCAGCCGTGGTTGATATTCCCGACCAATGCACGAAGCCATCTCTCCCGCCTCAGTACAACGCGAAATCTTTTCCTCCGGCAGGTGCACCGTGCTATTGCCACCTCTACACAGAAACTCCAAGGAGGAAAGGCACAGAATCCAATGGCTTCAAGGAAAATGGTCGCTTCTCTGCCGTCAATCATCAGTATATGTATATATATATATGTAAATAGATGAATATAGTATATAGTATATAGATGTATATAGCATGATTTACCTATCCTGGGAAGGTCATTGTATAGATATAGATGATAATAGATGTATATAGCAAGATTCAGTATATACCTATATATCAGTATCCTGAGAAAGTCATCTTGTGCCTGGGTGGAATCCATCTCTAGGCTCGTGCGCTTTGCTCACCTCAGATCTCATGGAACAACACAACATGTATCAACATGTCACATGTCACAGCATATCACATCATGTCACTGTGACAGTCACAGCATCAATAGCGAAGAAGGGTTCACACTGGTACTTGGTCGACCCCTTCCTTGCCGGTGATAGGGCAGATAAGCTTCCGACCCAGTATAGACCGACACAGTTCCTTACAGCAGAGACGATCCAACAACGGGACCACAGCCACATCACGAAAAGGCTTCAGGTTCGGCGCTGCTGCCCAAGGTTCCACAATGCTGTAAAGCTAGGAATAAGCATGTTGTAAAACTGCACCCTGTCGCGGAGACTCTCACTGGAGACTCGAGGTTGGGCTGTGACATTCCACATGGGGGTTGAGATTCTGTCGAGATCACCAAAGTCTTCAATGAGCAACTTCAATCTAAACAACCAGGACAGTAGTCACAGTTTACACTCCATCCTGTTTTGCAAGTGTACACAAGGCAGAGACCTACGCTCAAGTTTCTCACATCTATGTGCAGCAAGGTCAGGCAGACTCACTAATGAAAGTGTCACTTTAAATCTGGCAGGTTAGGCACAGAAGTTACAGAAATTTTATACTTCTACAGTCAGCCTTCAGAACCCACTCAGAACCGAAGCCTTCAATCCGTTCATATCCTTTCTATGCTGCCAGCAGCCACTCGTTTTGGTCAGGCCCTGTCAGCCCCTCATGGCCTGAACGGGGGACGTTCAGGATTCTCCGGGTCGAAGGACCAGCCGCAGAAGATCCTGCCACCAGTCAACTGGCCGATGAAAAATTCAATGGAATTTCTGAATTTCTGAAAGGTCGGGTTCAAGTTTCAAGTCAGGATGTACATGAATATTCAAGACATTTCAAGACATTTCAAGACTAGTACCCTGGTCAGCTGAATGCCAAGCACCAATAAGCACCACCTATTCCTTCACCTTCGAAATCCAAAGATGCCCCACCGGTCCTGGCACCTAAGGTGCCATACCTTAGGGCAACAAATCACTCGTAGCCACATGATGAAGCCACTTGACAGTCAAATTGCCCAGTCACTTTGCGGCCAAGTGGCCGATCATGTTGGTTACACGCCAAATTGAAGAGTGCAGTTAATGAAACAACCTGCGCAAGAGACTGAAGTGACATGAATTAACAAGCTCCAAAATAGACTTGGAAACTCTGACTTTAAAGGTCAAAAAATATCCTTGATCGCGGTTCCTGGTGTCGTTTGAGCTTTCTTGACAACACAACAATGATTTCCTCCATCTTGGTGTGGTGCTGCAAGCACTGTAACCAATCTCTGTTTCAGCATGTTTGAAAAAACGACACAATGCACCTGCACCCAAAGCTGCAATGGCACATCACAATTGTCCGTGCTATGTTTGGAGTATTCATAGGCCAAATACACCTCAAGGGCACGGGATGGCACAGCTTGTAGGGAAATCAAATGGGATTACAATTTGTTGCCATTTGTTGAACAAGTTCTGTGACTGAACCGCAGATAGTACTCTTCAGGTCCAACCCTTGCTGTTCAAAAATGTGCTGCAGCACATCTCTGAGACACCAGGCAAGGAGACCTATGCTGGCGACGGTCATTATGCACAGAAGCGTTGCAAATAAACCTCGGCTTCCGCAGGCTGGTTTCCAAAGCTCCACAAACATCCACAAACCCTCCACGGTCCACCACCAAAGCTCCACTGAGAAACACATGGCGCAGGCCATGTGCAGCACCGGACCCTGCCAGCGTCGATCACTGGGATCACTGGGATCACAATGAGTTGAGCCCATCAGCAGTACTGCTTGCACTAATATATGACATATATTATTCATATATTGCTATATACTGACATATATGTTTGGCCCATATAGCTGACATCTATTGATTACGACCTCTGACATATATTGAGCACCAAAAAAAACCATCAAAAACGGCCATGGCTATGGCGGCATTCGGCACCTGAGCAGCCAGTATCTCTTGGCGCTCCAGTTCTAATCCTGCTTCATCCGCAACCTGCATAGTGTCAGGATTGAATCGTGCAACTGATCCAGGAAGCCAGGCCTTCTGAGTCTTGCACCATTGCACCATTCATTTTTCTTGGGATCCATCCAAAACCAAAACCAACACATACTGATCCAATCTGATCCCTAAACATCGCTGAACCGCCCACTTTCAGCAGTACCGAGAGTACTGAGTCTGCAACTTGAGCTTGGGCTGCTGCCTGGTGCTGCTGCGCTGGAACAGACTGGGGAAACGGCTCAAGTTTCCAGACAGTTTTACAGCTTAAGCGGTGATTGATAAAATATCGAGGAAGATGTCCCAACAGGCTAACAGGTAGTACAAGACAAATGTGTTCCACGTATCGACAGAACTCATTGGGATAGAAGTGAGCTGGTGACCTTGTGATTTGAAGCTAAAACACTGGAGAATATGTGCAGGCGGAGGTATACATTACACATATTACACATAGTCACAAGACATGTAACTCTTGCATAGAAACCTTGTTGTCTGTTCATAGGCCGTCATGCAGAAGGACACAACTACAGGTGAACGCGGAAGAAAGACTTGAATGCCCCGTTGATTGACTGATCCGAGAAAAATGGAGTGACTGATTGCGGGGCAATAAAAGGTGCTGTCAACTCTGTTCAACTACTTGTTTTTTGGCTGAGAAGTATGTGCAAGCGAGACACATGAAATGAATCAAGAAAATTGAAAAGCAAGGATCCAGGTTTAAAATTGGATTATATAATGAAGATAAATGAAGATTTCACATCGGCGAAGCGCGGTTTGAGTCACCACCTTGAAGCCGAAACCTGGAACCTTCTGGAAGTCTGGAGCTTTTGTGATGTGACTTCGATTCTGAAACAACATGTCTTCATCCCATCAGTTCTAGACCCCGAACAAAAAAAGCTGCTAAGCTTCCCCAGTCGCAGTGACAAATCTCACCAAATAATGGCCAGTAATTCCAGTCGGTTTCACCTCAGCAGCCTCAGCTCCAGGAATCAGTGCCTGTCCAACGAGTCCAACCATCGCCATCCCCATGGCCCCATGGGTGCACGAGTGTGTCAACCCATTTAAGAAGCCTCAGTTTTTTTCATATGGGCCTTCCAAACCTTAGTGATAAACTATGAAAATTCGTAAAAAATGTAAAAAGGGCTTTTCTGAAATTGGTACCCCAAATAAAACATCTAGCTATACCTGGGCTATACCGAGCTTGTTGTACCCTATACTTTCATGGAAGACCCTCGCATTCTGACCTGGCCTCGCCATCCGTCGGCTCGCCAACGGTAGCCATCGCCACCTAGGCCTTTACCCCGACGTTT